AGGATAAAAAACGATTCGATAGCAAACATAGAGAATTAAAGTTTGATATTGGGGATAAAGTTAAAATTTTCGTGCCGGTAAGAAAAGTAGGCCGCAGCGAAAAATTGTTGTTAAAATGGTTTGGGCCATACAAAGTTTTAAGAAAATTAGGAGAAGTCGATTATGAAGTGGAAAAAATTGGTGGGAAGAAAAAGGACACGGTCCATGTAAGTAGGATACTCCCTTACTACGACCCGTGGACAGCGGAGTCCCCAGTTTTAGAAGAAATGTTAGAGGAATCAGAAACTGAGAGTAGTACTGAGGAAAATGAGGAAGAGATAGAAGAAATAAGAATAGACTGAGACCTCAAGAAATTTTTGTAGCACAGAATCGATTGGGAGCCCGCCCCACATCGGAAAACTAGTGTTAACAAAAAACATTAAAATAGAAAATATATACAGAAATAGTAGTTAGCATAATATAAGTTAAATTAAGGTTTAGATACCCCTCGATCATAAATTAAAACGGTCGATGTTTCAGGTTACTCCTAAGTTGCCTACGGGCCAGGAAGTAGAGGTAACAGCTGGAGCCGCACAGAGGGGTATTTGAATAAATTAGGCGGTCAAAAGTATTTCAACTAGGTATTAATGATTTTTATTTGCAATAAAATCATAATAAGTAAAAAATTTTAATTTACACGAAAAGGTAAAAATACAACAAATATTCATTCTAATAAAAGAAAAAGAAAAATATGAAAATTTAATTGTTTATTTAAAAATAAACCTAATAATTTATAAACGCCCAAAAAATATTTCAAAAATGACAATTTTTAGTTAGATGATGATTCTCCGTCAGAAGAACACCTATCATCAGAGGTATCTTCTATAGTTTCCGTAGCTGTAGGTTCATATTATGAAAGAAATAATTCGATGGTTTCTTTCAAAAATGGTTTTGTTTTTATTCTTGGTAGTGGTCTTGTATTGCACGATTCCCTGGAAAACTTTCTAGCAAAATTTTGTTTATATAAACGAAAATGCTTATTTCGTGCCTCCGCGGCTTCTTCTGAAAGTTGGCCTATTGGAAGTAAGGCAGCTTCAATGACTTCAGACCCATGAATTAAGATTTTGTGCATAGTGGGAGTCATTGGATGCCAGGGATACGAGTCAACATAAAGTTTAGCAGTAATAAATGCATACTGCTCAAACTTTGTTACGTTAATCCTATGCTCACTATAGAAATTGCCTCTGGAATAACTTTAATCCTATGGGTAAGATTCAAGTCAAGTCCAGTTATTTTCGCCGCAACTTCTTCAAAAAATATACGGCTGGTATTGCCGTCATTCGTGTTGTTGTATAATAGTGTGAAATTGGTGATTTACTTTGAAAAAATATTTTTAATAAATCGTATATTATCGGGTCCAAATTTTCTATATTTATGTAAGGTCAGTTGGGGCAAGCGCACCCCCTAAATTAATGGGTTCAGAATTAATTGATGTTCAAAATGTACCTATATGAGTTTTCGTGTTGTGTATTTTTATATGGCAACTTGGTAATATATTCAAGTAAAATCTGTTATTAAACATCATATATTTACGTTTTATAGTGGATGACATTTTTTTTTTTTTTTTAATGTCATAGGGGCGCACTTGCCCCGCTAACCGGGGCAAGTGCGTTTCCTATAGCTAAAACGAATCTGATAGCAAGCAGCGGCAAACCGGGGCAACTGCGCCTTACCCTAAATTTTACCTTTTTTCTCGATTTTGCAGAACATGGATATCTTTATTAGTTTCCGAGATATCAACCCAAACGTGAAAATGAAACAACACGCCAAATATTGTTTACATTTATTTTCAATGTAAATGAACATAATATAAGAAGACAAATGCTTTATTGTATGTCATACCCATCAAATGAGACTTGGAAAGAGATTTGGCCTCTTCTTTCGATGGTGGGAGGAGGCAACAGCATTATAATATCCGGGTCATCCACCTCAGAAATGTCATCTATATCCGGAAACTTAAAGACAGATTTTTTGTCTAAGATCTTTTTTTTCCTGGCAAATTTCACCATGTTGTTTCCTTGTAGTACTTGACCGACATAATACATACATACATAATGGACTTCTTTCCAGCAAATTTCACGAGAATCCAATCACCCACAGCTTTTTCTGAAACTTGCCTGTCGGAATAAAATTGGTCCCTCTGTAACTGCTTCTCATTCTCCACAAACTGATCAAACGTCTCATATTCATCACTTTCATCATCATAAGTAATATTATTATCAGCAATATCAGCTTCGCTATCTGAGGAAACAACAGGCTCTTGTATCTTTTTCTTTTTTATTTTTTTGGTGTCACTTTCTTTTTCTTTTAAACGCTGGAAGACGTCTTCTCTCGTAATAATTTCGGCTCCTCCAGCTATTCTTTTTTTTGGTTTCTTTTCTAGCTCTTGTGCCGATGCCTTAGGTTTTAAAGTAGCCAGTAGAATTTCCTCAAATGGAACCTTAGCTTTCTCTTGAACTGTGCTTGTAGATGGTTGGGATTGATGTGCGGTGCTAGTTGATGGCTGGCATATATCTGGCTGTCCTGCGGTTGTGGAAAGATCAGTAGTGGTAGAATTATTAGCAGTTATATGGGTGGTGATGCCTTTATGTTCTTCCCATCTTTTCAGGGCTAACGGATCGAAACTGTGACGCTGAATAACATTTTTGTCATAAGGATATATCCCACCTTTTTTAAAACCATTTTGAATTATAGTAGGACTTGCATCATTCCATACTTCTTGAATTAGTGTAGAAAATGTTTGTTTAATAATTTTTTTACCAGGATGCTGTCTTTGCCAATGGACCAGCTTTGAATCCCATTTATCCTTCAATGATTTGAAAACTGCCAAATCCAATGGTTGTAAAAGGTGGCTGGAATGAGGAGGTAGTTTTAAAATCGTAACACCTTCTTTTATGGCTTCCTGTATTAAATTTATTCCCAGGTGGGTTGAATGTCCATCGTAAATTAGAAGTATGGGACGTCTTTCCCCGAAGTCTTTTATCAAAACTTTTGTAAAATAATTTTCAAACACGTCTCTTTCCATCCATCCTTTTTTCGTTGCTGCATATACAAGTTTTGGGCCATCAGGAACTTCTGGAGCTGTCCATTGATCATAAACATCTTTACCTTTGAAAATTACTAATGCTGTACCTTTGTCGCCAGCTGCACTGCAAGCTAATAAAATGGAGGTATTTTCTCTACCTGATGGACCACTTGTTGTACGGGTACATGGAAATCCTATTTGACCCACTATTTTGGTTTTAGTTGGATCACTGCAGAAGCTACTTTCATCTAAATTCCAGATGTGGCTTGGTTTGTCTGCTAGATCAAGTTGATCAATTGTTGTCTTTAATAGGTCGAAATATTCGTAAATAACGAAAGGATCTAAACTCTTCTTTCTGGCAACCTCAACCATTTGTGGCTTCTTAATAGATAGCTTGTGTCTTTTACGAAAGTTTATAAACCAATCTGCACCTGGATATCCATCTTTGAATTGAGTTTTAAGCTTATTCTGCTTAACAAAATGTGCGACATTTTCTAGAACTTCTGATCTTGACAGCCCGAAACCCCATTTTTCCATTGTTTTAAGTCCTTCGGCTATTTTCTTTTCTTCTTCGTAACCAATATCGGCACCTCTTCCGAATGTGTTGCTTTTCATACCCCTTCTGCCTTTGACGTGGTCTCTTAAAGTACTTCTCGGAATTTTATACAAACTACTGGCTCTTTTAAGACCCATTTTTCCCGTTGCAACATCATTGACAGCAGCAGTCAATTGTTCTTTCGAATAAGCCGTTCCTTTAGTCGTTTTTCGCTTATAGCTTCTCACCATCTTTTTCGCTGGAACAAATACAAATCTAAGTCCCATGAATTGAGTATTTGGGGCAAGAGCACCCCTATGGGTACGCACTTGCCTCTTCCTCACTTTTGTCCGGGGCAAGTGCGACCCCCTGGTTATTCTCGTAATAAATCAAATTACAAGCTACCTTTATTTTACACATCATAATTCAGCACTTGCTTTCATTATAGAACTACCAAAACAGACAATAATATCAAATTGAATGATAATTACCTGATTCCAAAATTTTCTCTGCGAACCCGGTTTTTAGGTTATCTAAGCATGTATTGACGTTTGCAACAGTCAATGTCAGAAGGAATGTTGCAATGTTGCCAAAACGGTTTTGGTAGATGGGATTAGACATGTGCTAATCGAAAATTATTATTTGAGTATCGATTCACTCCAATCAACAAAGAAAATCCACAGAGTCGCACTTACCCCAAATGTGCACTTGCCCCAACTGACCTTACTAGAAACTACCAGCTAAACAGTAAATAAAAAAGTTTAGGCGGGAAATGCGCGGAAGTATAACAAAAACCTAGTTTTACTCAAAAGTTAAAACACCAAATAAAGTAAAAAGCAGCAAATGTTTCAATTAATATTTGGGAAAAAACACTGAATATTTTGAAAAAAATTTAGATAATGTGTAGTACTTACCTGCTACATTATTATCCATAATATTGTTTTCAATAAAAATAGCCAGTACGAAAGATATCGAATTGCAAACTTGTCTTGACAACTCAAACAAATAAGTATTAATTTACCTCAAACATTTAGTTTATATTGTGGAATGGAAACATAAACAAAAATTCCTTTAGGTGGGAAAAAAATATAAAAAAAGTTTTTCCATATGTTATCTTAAAAATGGCATTGTTGCTTCTCAGAAAAGGTTCCATATGCAAAATCGACTTTTGGCCTCCTAATTTAATTAAATACCCTTCTGTGAGCCGGTTGGAAACTGCTACCAGAAATAATAAGTTACGAGGCGACGATACCCATCACATACACCACCCCTTGGCTGCGAGAAAGAGAATCGCCTATAAGGCACCTAAAAATAAACTGTGTAGAAAAAACGGATGAAACCTGCATTATACTCAACCAATTAGAGGACATGTCCAAAGCACTGAACGCCGAAGTAAATAAAATGCTAGACCTTTGGGAGGTACATCATCTTATTTACAACTCCAGGTCAAAAAGGGCCATTTCACTGTCATTTATAGCGGATGGACTGAATTGGTGTTGTGGCGTAGCAACCCAACAAAAATTTGACTCCATGGTAATGAACGTGGACACAGTGAGACAACAGGTATCATCCATCCATGACGGCCTAGATTCGGTAGTACACATTGTAGGAAAAGAACTGGATGACATGAAGTTACTTCAGGATTTAGCCGGGACAAACCTGAAAATAAAATAAAAAGTTTAGAGAACTATACGGAAAACGTGAATCAAAGCATCCATGACTTGTGGAAAGTTATAGGAAAAAGCTATTTAGATACAACAAAGAACATACTATCTCTAACCAAGGCATTACGGATGCAGGATGCAGTAAAAACATGCAGGAACCACCAAATCCCAACGTCAGCAATAAGTCCAGGTATCTTAAGAAAGGACCTAGAAAAATTAGATGAAAAACTAAATAGAAAAAATTATGAACTCACAATTTCGGTATTGGACATGTCAAAATACTATGAACTTCCAATAGCTGATTGCAATTTTGCTGGAAACGAATTAACCATCCATGTCAAAGTGCCCATAAACAAGAAGAATCACACAGCTTGGCAACTTTTTGAATTAATTACGTTCCCTTTCGCATGGTCAGGCCAAACCTGCGCAATCGAACATACAACATTATACCTAGCAGTTGCAAAAAATAAAATAACAAATGAACAGTATACAAGGCAAATCACAGGGACAGGGATACATTTATGCAAACCATACGAAAGCAGACTTTGTTACCTACCTAGATTTTCGGGGAATACATTACAAGGTCCTTCCTGCGCAATCAAGCTTTTCCATGGCGCCACGGTACAGGAATTGTCAGCTCATTGTCCATTACGTTGTCACCAATCCAAACTTCCCTTGATCACGGAAGCTGAGGAGGACATATTTATGATAACACACCCGGAAAATGGAACAAGCATAACTTGCGTAGAACAGGAACGGGATGTCATTCCAAATATAATAACAACAGGAGCACTAAGAATCCACTTGCCATGTCAATGCAGTCTATAAATACAGAACAAAACATTAATTCCACAGAGATTTCCATGCAAACAAGATAAAGAAGTATTAAAAATAACTCATGTCTTACCAGCCGCATGGACACACTTGAAAACTTTCATATTGAATCAATTGATGAGCGTACAATCTGTCAAATTCAGCAACATAAACGAGTGTTTGAATCACAATTGGTCTCTGACAACACCGCACATAAACATAACATCAAGTTCTCAAATCCTCCAGGAGATGAACCACCAGATGAGAGAGATTTATAAAATGACTCCACGGATACCGTATACAGAAAGCCACAGTTTGATGTTAATATGGAACACCATATTGACAATAATGCTGTTGTACCTAACCTTTCACAGACAACACGCCGTTGTGCCAGCATTCGTACATGCGACAAGGGCCGAGGATAATCAAAACAACACGGAACACAATGCCTTATTTTATACTACAATAAGCCTAGTAGTAATATTCATCGTATATCTAACGTATAAGATAATCCAAAACTTAATAAATAAACGAACGGCGACTGAAACAGAAAACACGGTGTATACCCTAGAACTTATCGAAAAACTGGAGAATAATGAAATAAAATGCAAGCTAAGCAAGCCAACACCAGTAACGACAATAGTTGCTGACGAAGTCAAAGCCTGAAGCTGATAGGAGCACATAAATTATTACGAGGGGAATAGTAAACAATTATATAAATTCGTGTAGAAAGTAGGATGGATTATGTTACAAAATATTTGTAAAACATAAATTAGGTCAAATTGTAAGTATAGGTAATATGGGATAACGGTAAGGGTAATTATTTAATTGGTATGGGAAATATAAATATGGGAAATTAGATATTAGTATGTGGACAAGTAAGTATGGAGATTACCAGAATATAGGATGTAAATAAAATCCAAAAGTAAAAGTATATATATATATATATATATATATATATATATATATATATATATATATATATATATATATATATATATATATATATATATATATATATATATATTAGTGACCGCCGAAGCCGGGCTACACCGGTTACAAAGCATATGGTACCATCCACGGCACCATCCAGGATTAAAGTGTGGCCAGGCGGCACACTTGGGGGCCAGTTTCCTTGCACGTGAATGAACAGCACGATGAACCGGTAATCCTACGAAACATGGAAACAAATTGGTACAGAAAAATTATAAAAACAAAAATAGAAGAACCTCACCCTAAGCGATGGATCGAGGGTGGCCCACCTCCTGATGACAAGTCTTCTGCTAAATGATCCAAATAATAATAATAATATACTATTTATTGGGCAGACAGCTTTTTACACAATCAATTATATCTGGAAATTCATAAATAGTTATAATTCCATAAGGCTTGCCTTTAATTCCAGTGAATGTTTCATTTGTTTGTTACTAAATAAATATTTATGATAATAATTCAACTACGCATGGGAGATTGGTGTTGAGAATAATGTTTTTTTCCACCAACGGAGAAATTAATTAATTAAACTATAGACATCAAATAGGTACTTGGATTGATGCCAAAATGGAAAATGTGAATTTTTTTATACAAAAAAGTTAATGATTTTCTTCTTTACAAAATATATTATAGTGAAATACATAGGTAGAACCTATTTTTTTGATGTTCAATAAAATCGTGAGCAACATAAAACAGTAGGTACCTAAGACATGATTTTTGAAATGAATCTTATTTTCAATAATTGCGACGTTTCGACCGTTGAAGTGTCTCCGGTCGTTATCAAGCCAAAACTACTTCCTACTTATTTATTGAAAAAAATAAGTCATTTTGAATTTTAAATTAAAATATGAATACATTGGAATTGGAATGCTTACAATATTTAAGTTGAAAACTGATATTTAGGTACACTACATAATAAAATTTGCACAACATTTTCATATTCTTATTCTCCTTCACAGAAGTAAACTCTCTTAAAGAAAACTTAGTGTAAAACCATTATAGGTACCTACCTACTTTTTTTTAGTCGATCATTGTTCACCATGTTTGCAATGATACTTTGTGCATGTCAAACATTGCAATTTACATTTACACCTTCTAGTATTGATAGTTCAGAAGGCATTGATTGGGGCACAGATAAGGCATTTAGCACATTATTCGCATCTTTGCACCATCCAACATCTCAGCTGCAGGCTTGTATCAGGAAAATCGCTTTGGACCCTTTGTGATGGTTTAAGCGTGCCTTGTAAAATAGAAAAATATCTCCGGATGTCTATTTCCGATTCAAAAAAGATCTACCTATGTAATGATGAATTATGATGTTCATTCTTATTAATATGACTTTGATGATGGATGTGAAACTTGAACAAGTTACCTATTCCTATGCTCTGTCAAGCGTTTCTTCAGTCAGGGTATATTATCTTCTGTAAATCAAGTGAAGGTTCTGAAAATACTTTTAGTGCAAATGGCTCTATTTCAGTCTTACTTGTGTTGTGACATCACAACCTGTATTTATGTAGGCTCTAACTGAAGTGTTTTAAAGTACAGTTCCCAGTTTCATATCGAAGCATGAGAACAACGTCATTGCGTCATGTTATGCCCGACTGGTCAGCATGGAACACATGGAATATAATTTTAAATTTAATTAATTAAATCTGAAACTTAACACAGAAATAAATGAAAACAAATGAATCAGAAAATTCCAAACAGCAGCATCTGTAATCAATAGGCATGAGTCAAACAACTAAAATCATAAGCTACATAGCAATATCAACCAAAAAATATGTGGCTCAAAAATTCCCACGGGAGGGGTTGGAGGGTATATACGAGCCTTCGCTCTAATATGTAAAGTGTGCGCCATAATGTTCGCTACTTATGGATGAACTTTTTATTTGTAGGATATGCAATTTTTTATTTATGTGCGATCGATCCTGCATATCCGATGACCTGACAGTAATACATTGTGACATCGGCCACGTCATCACCGTCATGGCGGCAAATTCGAAAATTTCGATATGGAAAAGCGAAAAGTGAGATAAGATGGCAAAATATCGGAAAAAGTTATTTGAAAAAAGTGTTTATAACGATATTTTAGGGCCGCCTACAGTTTGCAGTAAAAAGAACAAAAAATATGAAATTCCTTATTTCTCTTTCACCTTATTTCAGTGTCTGACCAACGTAGGTGTCAAACACAAAATCTACTCGTTTAATTTACTTGTAGTTACTTGAATTAGTCCACAATTGATCAATTATATTTTTATAAGTTAGCATACCCTTAGTTCTGAGCTATCTGTGATTTCACAATTACAGAGCACTAAACCATGATAAGCCACAAATGTTAAGAAAAAAAGTAAGAAATCATAAAATTATACGAATAGTTGGGAATTTAAGATGTACCTAATAGTACTGAATGGAAATTATAAAATACAGTATAGAACAATAAGGCCCATTTGGCACGTAACAACAGTTGGAACCCCGGTTATAACTAAGTATTGTTTCCTTGTCCATTGTTGGCAATTTTACCTTTGTGATAACGTCGGGAAGTTTTATTTACAAAACAGTCGTTTCTAAATTTTCATATCTGTCTTATCCATGCTCTTCCACTTTCAACAGACGGAAAGCAGGTACAGTAGGTAACTACACATTAATTTGATGTCGATGAAAATATGAAGCTGTGTGCAGCTAGATATTTCATATGGATTGCCTCTAGTGTACAGGTTCTTTGATTATATTTAAGCCCATACCTGTACAGCCTTTACTATCCAAGATTTAAAAAAAATATATGCAGAACTTGAGTTTTTTCCTTTATCATCTTATGTACGTTATCAGAAGAAACAAAATCGCATCGGAAAATGGAAATACGTAAACAACTTCAACTTTTTTTAATGTAACACCCTGTATATAATGCGATAAAATGAAAGATCTTTTCTTCCTGATTCCAAATATATATATATGCATACAATATATTGATCACATTTGATATAGGTACTTTTTTTCTATCTTAGAAAGTTAAGGCTGTATGTATAATCAAAGACTCTGCACATAAATTCACCTAGTGCATTTACGCATATGTAGACAGAAATTATCATTATGAAATAAACAATACAGTTTTCAGGATGGCCTTGATATTAGCGTAAACCAGTTTTTAAATTGTGAACTACGACTGGTAATAGAGAAGTCCTGTAAAACTTTTAGTAGGTACTTACAGATTTTCTTTGATTAATAGCAGTTAGGCAACTTTACAAATGATCTCAATCGATTCCTTGAACTTAAGAATATATATTCACTAATCTAAAACATCCGGTCCAGAATATGATGATGCCTTTCCAACTTTTTCTGAATCTCCTAGATATACTTCACTCGATTCTGTATGTTAGAAAAATCAGTAGGGACTGAAATTTTTATTGGACTCAAGTACTACCGTACTACGCTTTCTCAGGGACTATTGCAGTGAAAGTTCTAGAGTTTATGCATTCTTTTTAGGCTGCCTCTATGTGTAATTTCTATGTGCATAAACTTTACCTAATTCCAAAAGATGACATAATCATTATCAGAAATCATATCCCTCCTAATTCAAATAACAGACTAGACATTTTTCACCTCCACCAGGTCTCCTGCTTCAGGTACCTACCAACAGAATATTGACAAGGGTACCACACCACACCATCACAGAGTACCACTGGCGCAACTTGTTTTTCTCATAACAGTTTATAACAAAGCTGATAAATGACGTAATCATATCCTAGAACCCGCTGACGCGACCGCTGCGTTTTGTCATCAATTTTGCCCACTTAAACCGTGACCATATTCATGAAGAATTCCGCGGTTAAAATTTGAATTTCCAACGTTATAGTTTAGTTTGGGTTCTCATTGGTACCGGTACTCAAGAAGATCGAATTCGCAGAATGAAGTCCAAGCACGAGATCCCTAGTAAAACGGATTATATGAAGGCATATACATATAATTTGATTTTAACCGAGAGAACCAATTGTGAATTAGAACATGAGAGAAATATTGGAAAGATTGATGCAGCTTTTTATAGAAATTTTTCTTGGCAGATTATGGGCAAGCAAAGAGAGCGACAGTTGAGTCAAACTGAAACAAGTAAGATGAATTGAATTTTTATTTTATTTATTGATCCTATTGTTTTGAATTCAGGTACGATATGTAAGGGTAACTGATGTTGGAAGTTTTTGACAGTCTTAGTTAGGTACTGCTCTAGATATGTTATGATTTTTACCTCATCTGGTACCTAGGTCCTAGATACTGGAGATTTCGAAGCACATTATTTTTCCAATTTTAACTACCTACACTCTACACTGTAATATAACATTCATTAAAAAAATAATAGGGTTATTTTTTGAGCGACCGAGGTGCCAAATCTTTTTAAAAAGGTTATTGTCAAAGCAAACATCTGAGGATTATTTTATTATAGACTCTCGATTTGGGTTGGTATTCGATATAGGTATCCTTATTGATGACACTTTTTATATAGGTACATATTATTAATGAGAAGGAAAATTTATTAAGTAATGACTAATAATTATATTTAAAAGTTTGTGAATCAAGCCTCATTTCAAAATCTAAATTTTATTTCTTCTCGTCAGGCGCATGCATGCATTTTATGTGGGTAAGGTAAATAGTAAAAATATGTTAATTGCCATTCTGTTAACAATAACGGTGAATAATATTGTTGGTTCTAATCTTATCAGAATGAAAATTCACACCTACACAGTGGGTGGAATTAATAAAGATAAGCATTTGCTTTTACTACTACATATTTATCTCAGTAAATGCTTGGCTTTATATTAATAAAAAGAAAAAGCAAATCCTTTGCAATAAGCATTTACTGACGCCCACTAGCATAAGTATTTGCACCACATAATAGATTAATAAAATTAGGAGTTTGCTAGTGAAAATAAGCAAATGTTTCTAAAAATATAAGTCTGCTATTTAGTTGGTTTCAATTCTAGCTTTGAAATATTGAATTCCAATATTACAAAAGATAGTTTGGTTATCACTTGCTTCAGTTCAAACTATTATTATTGCATGTTTCATATTACATAACGTAGCAAAATTGCGTTATTTTTCTGCAATCTTATCGATGTCACTTGACTTTTATGTATAATGACTGGATGCTCTTTTAAAAATGTAACAATATACAAGAAGTTCACTATTTTCACCCTCATCCAATTGAGAAGATGAAGACGACGACGTGGTTAAAAATAAATTTCACATCTGAAATGTTCATTTACGAAAACAAGATAGATCCATAATTATACTGGGTGTACAAAAAATAGTGTACCGGACTTCGAGAGGTGACATATGAAAACTAAAAAAAAATCCTATGAACATTATGTTCTAAAATGCTTTTTCGTTTTGTTAGTAACTACCCTCTACCGGCTCTACCCTTATGGAAACTACTCTTTAAGAACTGTTGCAGCTTTTTTACTATCACCATTCGCTTTGGCATCGAAATGTATGAGAAAATACCAAATTTCAAGGAAAATAGTTTGCCACTGTTTTTAAAAATAAATAAAATCTATTATTTTCATCTACCATTTGAAGGGGAAGGGCTGTAACTCCTTCAGGAAGTATCTTATGGCGCATGTTCATAGAAAGTTTTTTTTTTTTCATATGTAGTATCTATCATCCTTCGAAGTCTGGTACACTATTCTTTCACGATAAAATTTCAAAACAAGAATAAAAATGATAATGCATTTGCTATATTAATTTTAGCTCCAGTTTTCATACAAGCATATCCTTAGGGCAAAAGTATTTGGTTATTAATATGAAAATAAGGATTTGCTTGTACCACTAGCTTTTGCTGGAAAGCAAAACCTTTTGCTTGCAAGTAAATGCTCCTAAGCAAATCCTTATTTTTATCAATTCCACCCATTATATGGGAGTTTGCAATTGAAAAATAGGTATATGATAAGCCTTGTAATTAACTGCATGAATTTCGTGCAATATAAAATATAGAAAAATATTTATTCAACATTTTTTGGCTCTCCTGACAATTATTAATGTGAATGAGTAATATTATGGTCTCAAAGCATCTACACAAATTTCACAATTCGCATAATACCTAACTGAATGAAAATGTTCGAAATAATTTTATCGTTATAATCTGCATATATTCACCTTAATTTGTCCCTTTTTTTGCAGAGGATGATGCCAAATCAATAAAACAAAATTTATTATCCCAAGCGAATGGTAGACCCCGTAGGCAAAGTTTCCATGGGTAAGTCATAAATAGATTTTCAAATATAAAATAACGCACAGGGTATGGAAAAATATTCCGTAGGTATCTCACATATGGGAGGAATGGTCGAGTGGTAGCTTGTTAAAGTATTTTGATTCTCGTCACAAGTGCCTTTTTCTATTGAAAATCGAATGATTAGTTCTCAAGATATTCACTGTCAAAGTTGCCATGGGCTAAATAACAAACAATTTTCTGGCCCTGTTATTCTCGAATTAACACTTTCCTCAGCTCGGAGACGTCAATTTTCATTTTTTCGGAAGCATCGCCTATGATGTCTGGCTGTCGTATAGCCGGCTTAACTTCAATGCCGTTTGCAGGTGAAGCTGAGACATTTCTTCACTTCATGTTACATTCCAATTTTTTAATTTTGTTCTAAGCATTATCAATTTCTTGGCGGAAACCAACAACATCCTGACGAATAGTTCCATCTTCCTGACGAACAGTTCAAATTTCCTAGTGAACAATTTCAACCTCCTGACGAATAGCTCCAACTTCAAGACGAATACTCTTAACTTTTTTCTTGGCATTCTTGGATTTATGGTTTTGCTCTTTCAGGATTTTTTCAAGTATGTTTTTTTCCTCAGAAATTACGGTTTGAATCGCTGAATTTTGAAATCTTCCTGAAACCGATCCCGATGCCTTTTCTTCTCGTTTTTTCTTCTTCCTTAGGCAGGCCGCACATCAAAGAAACATGAAACGTGAAACATCAAACATGAAACGTAAAACATGAAACAATAAATTACGAAAAGCGAAACCGTTTCTCTCTTGCATACTAATTGAAGAAACAAGAATAATATTTGCAAAGTCTTTTGGGGTATGGAGGGTATCACAAAATGGAAAGTGTTGACGAGCAAAATAATAACTGCTGTTGTGGCAACTTTTCTATTATCGTCAAAAAGCCAAAAAAATAAAGGAAACGACGTTACTGGGTACATCCATACAATAATAATGTACTTTTTACCTGGACAACATTTTGGCAGGCTTTTTCTTGTGATTATCTATTCGAGAACGTCTCCATGTTATACTTATACAATTCTCCATCTTGCTCTACCACTGAAACGAACACAATATTGAATTCTTGGTCGTAATTAACTTTTTTATGAATGTATTAATGACCAAAAACCGTGAAACTGAAACAGAAAAATAGAAAGTCCACCTTCAACTTGCGATATTCTGGCTATTTGCTGTGATGAATTCACATAGAATACTCTGTATATTTCTTGAAACTGGATTTTAAATATAAAGTTCGGTCCCGGAGTCTGTTATGATAAGTGTGTGGTGCTTATGGCCATGGTAAACTTTTATTTAATATTAAGCCTAGACACTTATTTTGATCGCTCCATTCGATATCAGAGTTTTTGAGGACCAGGTTCGCAATGTATTAGTTCTATTTTCTACTAATTCGGATTTCCTGGGTCTTATTAGTGTTAATTTTGATTTTCCAGACTTTTGGCCAGTCAGCAATTTGGTTGAGGTGTGTCTGGAGACGTCGATTTGTGACGGTATGGTTTTTGTGTATTGTGAAAATGCAAATTTCATCTGCGACGATGGAAATTTTTCTGTTGAGGTTCCAGGGTATTTACGCAGTGATAATTTCGATAAGAAGAGCAATGACAGAGCCTTGGAGGACCCTTACCTCAATTGTCCTGATGTTTGAGCGGTGGCAGTTCATTCTCATTCATGTAGAATTTTCCGGATTTTAGCTAGCGGATGATGAATTTTGTGAAAGTGATGACAATTAGTATGTATAGCGTACCTGACGCGGACTTCGACTAGTCCGGCCATCTGCAGGTCTGTTGGATGAGCACTTGGAAAAGCGGATTTGCTCATCTGGAAGGATGCACTTTCTGGTCAGTCTCGACTTTGCGTACTTTCGGGCTCTTCTTGAACTGGAATCGAGAGACCTCTCTCAAGTAGCAATTTCGATGATTGAAGAATGAATGAATTGCGTGGTGAAATGTCACTGGCTATTTTGTTCATGTAACTTGCAGCTTGCAGGTCGAACAGTGTCGTAATTGCTAGTGGAGATTGGCAAACTTTTACTCGGTGGTTTGTCTGCGTGAAGAGTGAAAGTTTGGTGAAATGGTGCAAATTGTGAAAAACTTGCTTGCTTTTCTGTCTACAATTTTTGTATAAGAACTTTTTTCGATTATTCTCGCATTTCCAATACATATAAACTCTTTTAAAGGGTCTTGCATTGAAAAACCATGGGTAGCCAGACGCCCCCTTTTATGATTAGTAGGGACAAGAAAATGCCTACAGGAAATAATCTTAGTAAAAGCATAGAATAGCCAGACCTATCATTTGGTCTGCTATAGAACTATTGTGATTGGGTACCCACCTAAAATTAACATTTATATTTGTACCATGACCAAGTACGAATAAAAAACACCAATAATAAACAGACTCAGCACATACACTATAGTCGCCAGTCGATATAAAAGCAATGTTAACCACGTTCATTTTGGCAACGATATTTTTATTGACAATTTATGAAATGATGAAAATTGAAAAACGGAATAAATATATGCCAGCGAAAATTAAAAAATGTACGCGTACCGGTAATTTATTTGTGAAATTAATCGAGAGAGATGTCAGAGTGTGAGTTCAATTATTGTTTTTTCATTAAAGAAAATATTTTAACCAGATTTTTTTTTAGTACTCATCAGGATCAGGATCAGGGGAAAGTCAAGGCTGTGGTAGAATCCAGAACTGACTTCAACGGAAATGTTCCAAAAAGGTTAGTTAAATTTTAATTTAAATAATATTGAATATTGCTATGTAATTTTTCGTTTCATGTCTAGATATACTTCCACCTGCTATTTCAAAACAAACAACATTCCTGCTTGGTACTCGGAATCGGTACTAATTAAAATTGGATCCACTAAAAGGGTTTACGATGAAAAAGTATGGTTTAAGGTGAGAATATATTTTATACAATACTATCCACTACAATTTTTCTGAATATTTTTCAACACAAAATTGTTTTTAATTTTTAGCACAAAATTCAACCATATTACTGGGAGGAAAATATGACGACAGAGGTCAATTTTGCTCCAACCATTCAACAAACTTCGCAAATAAGAATTCCAGTGGTGGCACCGGATGATGATCATTATATCTCATTGGAACCACAACAAACTGCTGCTGGTGCCAGCTAAATCTTGGTAAGTGAAGTTTCGTAGATAATATAGGACTTATTTTTCTTTTTCACTCTGTTTCACCTAGGTGCAAATAAACTTTCTATTAAGTATCAACTGAGTTAGGTTTTCGCGGCCGTCGTCTAAATAGTTGTTGTTTTTCGGGCTTTTTGGCCGCCGTTCTTTCGAAAAATGTTTTCTCGACGTTGAACTTCATTCGTTTGTGGGAACATGGGGCGGATTACGAACTCTCGATTCGAACCGAAACCGCCATGTTACACCAAAATTTTGATTTCGAACGCACTCCATGCGAATGCATTTCGACGAAAGTCACTCGACTGGTTGATGTCTGTCGAAAAGCTATCGAAACGAAATCGAGTCCAATAAAGTTAAGTTATGTTGGATTTTTGGGGGACAAAATTCGTTTGATTCTTTATTTTGTTTTGACGTTTTGTAGTATTTTGAAATTTGAACAGAAAAATCGCTGAAAAAAATTGTCCTAAAATTAATGATCGCCATTGGCAGGTTTTATTATCTTTTATAGATAAACATTCTCTATTTGCTAGAGGTCAATTTGCAGGGCCCAACGGTAAAGTCATTCAAAGGAAACTCTGGAACAGCTTACAGAAAATAAAGAATCTGTGGGTAATTGTAGATGAGGTCGTACCAAGTCAATAAGGTTCTGGACCAAGAATTTGCTAAGTCTAAATAGTTCAATAAACCTTGCCTCTGGGTCTTTTTTCTTGAAACAGGGGAGCAGGGTTCCCAAGAGAACGAGTGTTCCGTCTTTGTACCTACTTATGTCGTTATCATTTGCATATCATTGAAAAAGACGGAACACTCGTTCTTCTGGGAACGCTACACCCTGGATGTAAAAAGGAATCATAACTTTCTCTGATTTCTCTTCTCATATGAATTAATGCACGATTTTCTCGTCTTCTTGCATCATTTTGCCTTCGCCGCCTTATGACTCTGATTATGGTAAACATATTACTAACTTTTTCCTTTTATAAAAATTTTTAAACACTTTGAAATTGCGAAATTAATCTTTAACGAACACAAATAACCACAACACAACAATAAAAAATTAGAATTAGTATTAAGTCAATGTCAAAAAATTGACAAAATTTGGTAAATTTGAGCGAAAGGCGTCACAAATCTCCGAACTTACACGAACCCGAAACGAAACTTGTACCTAATCATCTCTGACGTTTCGAGCACAATCGATGCGTATTCACTTTCGTATCGAGTGTCCATTTCGAGTCGTGTTTTCGTAATCCCCCCGCAGATGTCCTGCACTCGAATCAGCGAAACGTCGAGAAAACATTTTCCGAGAGAACGACGGCCAAACAGCCCGAAAAACAACAACCATTTAAACTTTCTATTGTTATGAAAGTGAAAGGCAGTGAAGTAGGAAGTGATTCAATTTAGATAAATATGTCACCTATATGATCATACATAACACCTAATACATATGCTTGAATGTAAAAAAACACCTGAGAATAATGTATTTAGTTAGATAGAATAACTTCACTTAAGTCCTGTGAAAAAATCTTTTCCAACATGTTTAACTAATATTGTCGTATAAAGTACTATTTTTTCACTAAAATTATTCAACATCGGAAAAACATATATGCAATCTTAAAAGTTTATTCCTAAAGGCCGTTTTACAGCTTGCAATTCTATCTGCAATATGCAAGAAACTTGACCGAAGGCATGCGCAGGAGTGAGTCAGCTGATTGTTTCCTGCAAGATTTTTGAAACTTGAATAGCATTACATGGAATCGGTTTGGTGCCACTTTTTTTAAAGGGTTTTCGCGCAAGCTGGGGAATTTTCACAATTATGATGCTCAAAGTGGCTGCTATTGCTTTATTCTTCTAAAGGCCGTTTTACAGCTTGCAAGAAAACTTGAATGCCATTTTTTGCATGCAAAAAAATTGCCTTCAAGATTTCTTGCACGTCGCTTTACACCTTGCAATTTGACTTGTTTCTTTCTCTAACCTTAACCATACTTTTTTGTTTTTAATGTTGTGTTGTTGATTTTTGCATTTTCCAAAAATAAAAAAAGTGATTATTAGTCGATATAAAAAGAAGAAAGCAATAGCAGCAACTTTAGGGATCATAATTGCTAAAAATTCCCCAGCTTGCACGAAAATCTTCAAGAAAAATGGCACCATATCGATTGCGTGCAATGCCATTCAAGTTTCAAGAATCTTGCAAAAACCAATCAGCTGACTCACTTCTGCGCATTCCCTCGTTCAAGTTTCTTGCATATTGCAAAAAGAATTGCAAGCTGTAAAACGGCCTTTATATCGACTTATAATCACCTTTTTAATTTTTGAAAAATGCAAACATCAACAACACAAAATTAAAAACCCAAAAGTATGGTTAAGGTTAGAGAAGAAAATAAGTCAAATTGCAAGGTGTAAAACGACGTGCAAGAAATCTTGAATGCAAATTTTTTGCATGCAAGATGGACCTTCTGAGAATTCAGATTTCTCCATTGTCGTATAAAGCAAAACTACACGTATTGCGTAAATCTGACCATGTCAGAGCAATACAAACTTATCGTATGAGTATTAGCAGTGTGTTCGGAGCCTTGGTTTCCAAAGACTAACAACTTTCTTCGATTCGCCACACTGTCAAGAATTCTGTGATTTTTGAAAATTTATTTTCGTAGATATATTTTTTTTTATTTTCAGGATATCCATGTAATCAGCTGTTCAGACTGTGAAGATTGCCAAAAACCTTTCTACATTCCATGCGGAAACAAAGGTATCTACTTCAACCTTTTGTACTTTACTTATTATGAACCTATTTACTATTTTATATTTCTTCATTTATAATCCAGTATCTTTGCCGTGAGAGCGGGGGTTACCGTGCGTCAAATCCGGTAGTTCTGTTTCTTTGCCGCAACCTTGTTAAAAAGGCAAAAAAAGCAAAATTATCGCTTGTTCGAGTTTTTGCCGATTTCAACCGTGAAGTAGTATTTTTTTCAGAATTCAAGTACATTTTATAAGTAGGTACACTAAATTTCCTTTGAGACTATAATTATTTCTGTAGACACAATACTTCCGGAAATACAGCTCTTTGAAATATCGAAGCTATAGGCGAAAAAGTGGTGCCTTGTCGAGTCCCCAACATTTTCTAATCGAATCGAATTTTTTTTTTTTTTTCCGGGCTTACGAAGCATTGTTGAGAATAGGGTCATATAAGCTTTCCGACGTATTTTTCGCTCCTCTATCCAATGTTTTTTTTGTTTTTTTTTCTTTTTTCGAAATTCGGAAGAGTAAATGCAGCCCCTGTGTACACCACACTTTTTTTTTCAAAATTGGGGGGATAGGGGCTGAAACCCCTCTGGTAGATCGGAGAGGGCTGAAACTCGCTCGGGTCGTCATTTTTAGATCGCAGCGGGGCTCCGTCCGTTTTAGAGATATTGCGTTTTTTATATTTTTCCCCCGTATATTTTTCAAAAATTCCTCCCCCCTCCCCCTTCAATCGATAGGGCTACTTTTTCTCTACAACCATTCAAAATTTCAACTTTCCACCCTCAGCCGTTTGGACTGTACAGGGACCGGAAGTCAAAACTTTGACATCCCCCTCAGGGTCCCCCGGGATAGGAGGGGGGACGAAAACTATTTTGGCTTGATGAAATTGAAAGTTTTAGGTCCCCTGAAAATTTCAACTTTCTACCTTATCGGGAATTAGCTGAAACACCCCGCGCGGGCTTTGTTCCGAGAAATTTTAAAAAGCTCTTTTGGAAACTGTTGCACCTACAGAGATGATTGTGGTCTTAAATTATAGGAAATTTAGTCTACTTTAAAAATTCACTGAATAGCTATTTCGAAAAAACTATTCCTTCAGGGAGAAAAATTGGCAAAAACTGAAAAAATTTCGAAAATTCCGCGTTTTTCTGGACTTTTGACTAGGTTGCGTTTGGTCGTCGAGTTGGAAAACTTGGGTTATTGGACCAACATCATAAACAACTCAGCAAAAAAATCAGAACTACCGGATTTGACGCATGGTCGCATGTATATGGTTACTGGATTATTAGAATAAAGATATTTTTTTCTTTACCTTAATTACCTATTCCTATTATTGTTATTATTTCACTTATTGTAATATATTTTGGATTTAACCAAAGGTGATATTTTTTATTTTACATAAGTCTATCAATAGTCAGGGTGGCAAGAAATTGGGTCGTCTTCAATATATTTTTTCTTCTCCAGAATCGCGATTCCAAAGTTGGCTCCCGGTATCTTTCCCATTGTCATTACCTACCTATCAATCCTCCATTTTGGGCTTTATTTTGATGCGAAATGTATTTAAAGTGAAGCAAAATACTTTAAAAATATATTTCTATAGACTTTTCTATATATTCTCTCTTTATACTGAACCACTAATTAATAATTCTTCAAACCTAATTAATAATTAATTATTCAAATATTGAATAGGAATAACAAAGTGCGTGAAAACGCTCTCAAATTAGTTTGTGACGCCATGGAACGATAAATCAATAAAAGTGTGGTTATATCAACGTGAGACAGACATCGAACACAATGGGTAAGACAGGGAGCACAGACACTCGTTTTGACGGTATCGTCTTGTGACATCATCGATTTACGACTGCGTTTTGGCGCGAAGAGAGTTATTTTGAATTTCTATATTTTTTTCACAGAAAACTATTAGTTGAAAATTTAAAATTTTTGTGGCACACACAGTTTGAATGTGGAGAATTCAATAAGGGAATAAAAAAAAGTGTGCAAATTCCTTATTAAGGTGGGTTTATACAGCCACATAACATAACATAAGAAATAACATAACATAACGGCTTTTGGTAATTTCTTGGATTCGATATTTATTTTTGTGTTTCTGCTGAATTATTAATTAATAAACTTTTTCATCAAATAGGTATACTGTTTTCGGTAGAGTTTACATAAGTACAAGTACCAGCTGATTGGTTAGAAATTATTTCTTATGTTATGTTATTTTCTGTATAAACGCCACAAAATTCTTATTTATTATGTTATGTTATGCCTTATTTTATCTTATTTCTTCTATGCTGTATAAACCCACCTGTATTGTTTTATAAGAAAAGTTATTAATGACATTTCTACTGAAAACCTGTTCTCTCTGCCAGACACTCAAAAAACAATAAGAAACTGGCGTAAAAGTAGAAATTTTAAAAGCTTTATACATAAAAAGATTCAGAATGTAGACTGGAACTCTGTTCATATTATCGCGAAAATGTGGCGGAAGCGCCAGGGTATACAGAATTGGACAGCTGTTTCTAGATTTTGCGGTGCTGTTCGGGAAGGAGGGTTATCGCGTTTATTCTGAATTTTGCAGGAATAGATTGCGGATATATGTATAAAGGCCAGTATTAGTACCTAGTAGTTTTAAAATTTAAGATTGGCTGTGATACGTTTTAGATAGTGATTATTGTTAGAGTTGTAAAGAGTTAAGTTTTTTTGAGATAATTAGTGAAGTAATTAATGTCAGAGTGTGTAGTAACATGGAATGAACTATTGTTGTGTTAATTGGACTTTGATTTTGGAATAAGCGAACCCAAGATTTCTGTCAGGCACCCCAGAGCCGTGACATTGGTGTCAGAAGTGAGACATAATTCGAGGACTGCAACGTAAAATCCGATTGCAGAATAGTGCGCGGACACTGTGGACTCTATAGTGAACACTGGGACAGTAAGTCAGAGTAAGCAGTGACAATCACCAAAAGAGACTTAACCGATTGTGTAAATTACCCCGGAAGTGACTGTATACCCGATTTTGACTGTGATAGTGAATTTTCAAGTAAGTTCTAGAAAATTCTATTCGGAAAACAAGGGACATATCCAATTTCTGACTTCGCCGAAGTATTCGATACATCAATCGTCATTCAGAATTTCGAGGAATTTCGGGAAAATTCTAGAACATTATATTTGGAAACCAAGGTATTGAATTTGTGACTTCACCGACGGGTTTGCTATATCAATGGACATTCAGAAAAGACATTTCAAGAAAATTCTAGAACATCCTACTCGAGAATAAAGCAATAAGTTATCTAATTTGTGACTTCACCGACGTGTTTGGAACTTCAACCAAACACTAGGAAAGATATTTGAAAAGAGTTTGAAGAAAATTCCAGAATATTCTGTATATGCCTATTACGATACAAAAATGGGAAAACAAAAAGTTGAAGAACTTCTGCGCAAAATGTTGGAACTTCAAGAGACCAAACGACAACAAGAAAAACAAGACGAAGAGGCCAGACGACAAAAAGAACGGCAAGAAGACCTTGCACAACTACAGAAAATATTTCAAACCATACACGAATTTGTCGCTCACCTAGAACAAAAGATTACGGAAGTGAAAGCCGAAGTTAAAGACGATGTTCGAGAAGTTGAAGACGATGTTCGAGAAGTTGAAGACTATGTTGGAGAAGTTGAAAACGACGTTCAGGAAATGAAAGCTGAGGTCAAAGCCGATGTTCAGCAATTAAGACAAGAAGTTGAGGTCCAAGTTCGAGCACTTGAAGATAAGGTGAATAAATTCGAAATACAGTCCATCAATCCAGTTAGTGTTGGGGCATTCTCTAGTATGAAAAAAAAACCACCAACTTTTGACGGTTCTACATCCTGAACCATGTATATCCGACAATTTGAAGCTGCTGCAAACACCAACGGGTGGAACGATCAAGAAAAAGCTACAGCACTGATAGTGGCGCTACGAGGACCTGATTTAGACCTTCTTCAGTCCATTCCTTCGATCTACCAACAGAATTACCAGCATCTAAGTCAGACGATAGAATTGCGCTCCGGAAACCATTACAGGCAAGAAGTATTTAGAACTCAAGCTTAATCAAGAATTCAAAAACCCGGCGAGTGTGGCAGCTTGTTATGAGAAAAGCATTTCTATGATTCTTCCTTGAGCAGACGCTCTCCTAAGCGTTCTTGGTGTCTCTCGGCTCCGGAGGAAGGGGAAATGGATCCAAAGGATCAAGTTTTACTTTCTTTGCTGGCTGAAACTTATCGGAAAAAAGTGTCGCAGGTCGTTATGATCTTGGGATCCCCAATTTTTTCAATAAAATAGACAATAATTTGCCGATGGAAGAACTTATCCCGGATGTTACTCTCTCAATAACAAGTTAATGTTGAAGAAACTCTAGATGAGTTTGCTGATAAGTTTCACGTTGCAGAACCAGCGGGTAGTATTAGATAATAACAGAGCTTGGAGGATAAGGCTTTTTTAGTGAATATACCCATTTTCTGAGTTAGATACAAAGGAGAAAGGAAATGATGATGATATAACCTTCCAATCTATACTGGATCTCGAAATTTATTTCTAACTAGAAGAAAAACTAAACCAAACCCAATATCTCAATTCCTCTGAAGATAAATGCAGATTAGTTCGTTACTCTTTTTATATATAGAATATGAATTTTATGTTTTCATTGTTTAAGGATGATTTTTTTTTAATTGAAAACAGATTTTGGACTTTGATTAATGATAGAGCATTTAAAAAGATATACGTTGACCTTCAAGCACCAGTAGGTACCTAAGTTTATTTTAGATCCTAATTTTGCGAAACAACAATAAAAAAAATACGATGCACAAAGAATGAATATCAAAATTTATTCCCAAATTATATTTATGAAGCAAACTTTTACGTGTTCGTCATTCATACAATTCCAAAATCTGATATAAGTAAGAGCAAATATGAGCTGCATTATGAGGAATACAAATAAAAGACAGTTCGGTTGATATAGCAATTAGTAAGGTGACCCATAAAAAAGACATTGTCCTTCACCTGGAAATTCTTTAAGCAGGTAGGTTCCTTAATCTTCTCGTAATTATTTACTGTTCAAATCGGTAGTACCGGTACCTTGTAAGTACCGTTACAATTTCGCTGGCGATCTGGTACCGTGCGTTCGTCATCATCGCGACGGAATAGTTGGAACTATCAAACTATACACGCAAGTTGTACCCAACCATAGTGCAGTTAGTGAGTGATGTGAGTGATTTTTGAATAATAGTATAACTAAACTTTGAAATATAATAAGAATAAGGTAAAGATAATGTTTATACCTAGATAAACCCTTTTCTATATTTATGGCTATCCTCGTAACATTTTCAGGTTCTTTAAAATTCGAACACAAATTGTTAAATCACTATTATTATTTTAAATAATAAAAATTAAAAATTAACAACATTTTTAATGTTGGAATATTGAAACTTTATGATTTCAATTAAAATCTTTTTGTTTATTGGCCTATAATTCAAGCTACATTATTAATTCCAAAATTAATTAAATAAAATATAATTTTTGGTAAAAGCTCCTGAAACTGTGTCCACATAAAAACATAATAATTTTTAGTTTAGCTATCGCTAGATACCTACTTATGTTACTTTTTTTTAACAAAATATATTTATTATGGTAGAAGATATTCTCAACGTATTTAAAATAGCTGTGTCTTGGGGAAACGTGTGCTTTTCAGATACCTACAGTTTTAAAATGTTATAAACCAAGAATTGATACCTATAAGCACCCATTTTACCTATTATTCGGGTATATTATATAGGTAGGTAATCATTAAATTGAGAATTTAACGTAGAGGCGCTTACTATCTATTATTGATGCAAGTTGGAAACATATAACGTTTTGAATAGGTAAGGTACGTTTTTTTCAGGGATGGCAAATATCATGATATTTATATAAATATCCAATTATCCGATATATATCGATATATATCGGATATATATCAAAATTTGGATATTTATTTATATTTTTAATTACTTGAATTAGTTCATCTGTTTTCTGTTATCTATACTATTGAAATTCGAAATAACTTTATGGTAAATTTAATAAAATGTTACAAACATGTAAAGTTGGTATGGCGATAACAAGTTTTAGTGCTCCTATTTCCTATACATATGTATAGGAATGTAAAGTGTAGTAGGTAAATAAAAATTCGTGTTTAAGAATATGAAAACATTTATGTCATACTACTTATGTTTACCTTAAGCCGTGGTTCAACAACTCTGAACTCAACAACAAAAAGAAAACTACAACTCAGGGCGGGTATTATAAAACTATTTTGACAGAATAACTAGAAGTTAACCCTGGATTGACGGTATTTCTCATAGTAATTCCAGAAGCTAACATTTAGTTATCTGTCAAAATAGTTTCATAATACTCCTATATAATTATACCCTAAAAAACCTGATATTTCTTTAACACAAATAATAATAAATAAAATAATAATTGATAATTGACGTAATATAGACTGTTTTGGCCGAGATCCCTGTGATTTCCTTCTCATAAATATACTACTACGGCTGTTAAACTTCTCAACATAAAATAATAAAACTATAAAATAAGAAAAGAAGGCCATACAAATAAAGTTGATATATATCATGATATTTATAGTATAAATATCATAATATTTATAGCATAAATATCATGATATTTATCAAGATATATATCAGGATATTTATCGCTGATATATATCCTGCCAATCCTGGTTTGTTTTTAAAGGAAAAATCATGCTTCCAGACATATTTCCTAGCAGTGTAAATTTGACTTATTCATGATTGTAATTGTTTGGCAGTTTCTTGTTCTGGTAGGTACATATTTTTTTATGATGAGAATATAAAGTATGTCAAATATTTCTCAAAGAAAAAGCTAAAAATTGGAGCTATGTCCAGGAAATGTTAAATCCAAGACGACGGATTCAATATAAAATTCTAAAAATAACAGGCAGTTAGCACTAACGTTTAATAATAATTAAAAGAAAATAATGCGAGTATGGCCATAAGTCTAAATTAATTATCTCATTTAAAACTACGCGCTATATATACATACATTATATACAAAATATTTTAATCGAGAAATCAGGTAAATGCTTATATCTATTTAAATTACACAATAGAACGAATTCCTGAATATTCGCACTTGGCGAATGCGTCCGTCGGCTTCTCCGCACGAATCTAATTTCATACACTACTTCCCTTTGGAACCCTCCCGGTTTGACCTTTCGTGATAAGGGGTCAATCAACTTGGCGCCTCGTGCCGCCCCGATCTTAAAACAAAATATGTCATAATTTTGCGCACCCTCCTTCAAGAGACTCCTGCCGGTTTTCAAATGGGCGGCCAACTTGACGGTTCTCTCCCGAATGAAAGCAAGAAAATTTTTAATGCCTCTATTATATTTATTGTACCATCAAATAATTATTATTTCCCTCTCCTCCTCAACCAAGCTTAATAGTTCTTTTACTGGTATATTCTACCAATTTTCCATACTATTTTTTAAATTTCGAACACCTTTGTGGAATAAGTTATAGACTGTCAAAAAATTAATATTCGGCCCCCGTCCTCAACCATACTTAATATTTCGTTTACTGTTACATTCTACCAATTTTACACAATTTTGCAGAGCTTTGTGGAGAAAATTATAGGCTATCAAAATATTAATATTTTCCCCTCGACCTGAACCAAACTCAATATTTCTTTTACTGTTATATTATTCTTATTTTGCACATCTTTGTGGAAAAAGATATATTGTTGTTTCATTCATTTTCGTCTTGTCTGTTCTGACTACTAGGTCTAATCAGGACGGGCCCTACAGTTTAACGGTCATCAATTCAACAGTAACACAGTAACTTTAGGCGTGTACTCTTTTAGGGTACTACCTGTTGTTCCTCTTGGTGCAACCTACCGACTGGTGAGTGTTTTCTAGGTCCCCTTTTTCCCCCACGGTATATCCGATACCATCCGGCCTCTAACCGGCCTGAATGGGGGGAGGACGAAGATACATTTTGCACTCTTCCCAAGGCAGCCACTAAATGTCCGTAATTTTCAGTCTGGCCAGGATTCGCGCCTGATCTACCCAGCGACTTTGCCCATGTAGTCGAGCCCGTTAACGCACAGGACCACCGTCACCGGCATGAGAAAGATATAGACTATCAAAAAATTGCAAAATGCAAAATTGTAAAAATTCACAAAATTAGTAGAATATAACAGTAAAAGAAATATTAAGTCTGGTTGAGGTCGGGGGGAAATTTTTCATTTTTCGATAGTCTATAACTTTCTCCGCAAAGGTGAGCTCGAAGGTGAGCAAAATTGTGCAAAATTAGTAGAGTATTATAGTAGAAGAAATATTAAGTTTGGTTGATGTTGGGGGTGAAATATTACTTTTTTGTTGGTCTATAACTTTCTACTCAAAGCTGTGCAAAATTTCAAAATTAGTGTGCAAAATATAACAACTACGATAGACGTATTTGAAATTTCCTTGCTCTCATTCGGGGGGGAACCCTCAAGTTGGCCCCATGTTTGAAAATTGGCTGTGGTCTCTGGGAGGAGGGTGTGCAAGATTTGGGTTTATGATATATTATGATATATTTTGATTAAGATCGAAGCAGCACGGGGGCACACTTGACTGACCTCGTGACAATCCTTCAAGATCCAACACTATCTCTTCTACGTTTAAGTATTCACTCAGATCTATATTCATCATATCTTTTATTCTCCATCTTCCTACTACTTTGCAATACTATGCCTTTCAGGATTCCTAGAACCATGGCTTTAAAAATAGTGTCCTCTAGATCTATGTTGTTCGTCATACTCGCAACCATCTTCATCACCCCATCTATCTACATGCACATACACATCTCTATGCCTGTCAAATGAATCCCCTAGGATGCGTTCCCGTCCATGCATGCTTGCGTGGTTCTTATTCTCATGGGCTGACGTCATGGGAACGAGCACTATCTACGCCTGCGTGGCTGGTCGTAGAACTCGCTGTAATCCTGAACGAATCCATACCGGTCTGGCCAGGTGAACATCTTACGGGCCAATTTTAATGCAATTGAATGAAATGTCCACGAGAACGATTTCTTCTGTTCCACCTCCAGCATTTCCAGCGCTCCATGCTTGAAGATGTTCTGATGAATTGGTGACATTAATTCCTTCAAGAGCAAGTTCTCATTTTACCAGTCAGTCCGAAGCAGATCACCCATTCCCAGTCGGAACTGAAATTTGAGAAAATTTGGAGCATAAAGGCAAACCGTATACAGAACGCTTGAGAGAATAGGAAACAGAACACCTCAAATTTCCCCGACATCTGTCAAAATAGTTCAAAAAATGTCAGCTTTTTCATCGGATGAAATATATATTTTTTTTTATGTCATATTTTGTACTATGTGTTTTGCGTTTATGTGCTGATTAAGGATCACCGATCGCGCCTACTGCAGGTCGGTTCATACAGTGAGGACTTCAATTCATAACAACTCTTCGATTCTATGGAATCTTCAATCTCCGGAAGTGTTTGCCTTTTTTTTTCTATTTTTTTTTCTCTCTCTCACCATACCTACTCCCAGTAGCCTTGTAGGACTCAAGAATGTTTAATTCTTGACAATTTAAGCATGTCAGATCTGTTTAATAATAGTTGCTGGAATGTTTTTATACCTTGTTATATATAATAACGACAAAGTCCAGCAATTACAGGTTATTAACTGCTAGTGGTACAAGTTCATGAATAACGTGCATTTAAAATCCGCCAACCATACAACATATGTTAAATGTGAATAGATACATAATTTAAAAAAAAAAAAAAATAGGTCACAACGAAAACTTTTTAGTGATAACCTAGACATAGTGAACAAATTTTAGAAAGGCACAAAGTTTATCACTAAAATATTTCCAAAAGATGGTTTATCAACAAAATTTGTAACCAAATAAATTCCTCAAGGAAAGATATATTCTTTCAATGAAACAATGGCCTCTTATTCAAAATCTAGATTAAAACAAGACACATTTCTAATATGTACATAAATATAACGAAAAGTATACCAAATGAATGTATTTTTCATTTTATTGTTAAGTACCTGATACCACCTTATCTCAAGTTTGTCTTGAAAAGGTTTAGGCATGTGTATACTATGAAAAACGCGATTTTAAGTATTTAAAAATAAATTGTTTCAGTAGTTACGGTGGTACTGCGAAACAAATTTCATTGCTCAAAAACAATATAATATTATAATTTAAATGAAAATTACAAATTAACGATTTTTTTTTATGACAATCCTGCGAGGTCCAATTTCATGATTGCGTCGATAATATTCGTTTAGTTATATTTCAGTAAGCACGCTAAATAATGACAATTTTAGATACAATGGGCAAGAAGCAACTACTAGTTCTAGTCATACTTAGTCTTACAACTTCATCACTTCAAGATATCACCGATAAGAATGTGGACACGCAAGAAGAGAGTCCGTTGGCTGACGTCGCTAAAGAAATTTTGAAAGAAAAAAATTTAGAAAATATAGGAGGAATGGTAAGACTAATTGTGATATTTTATAAAATTATATGTAAGGTTCCATGCAGACTCGAGCAGGTATTATGCCAGTTGTTCATTCGCTAAAGCTTGATATCTCTTGAATGGATATTGTTGAAAGTTGCCTAGACCCGTTGATGTTTCTTTCAAGGGGGCTACTTTTTCGGAAATATTTAAGCTCGGAAACTTGGAATTCCCATAACCCAGCACACATATTTTTAAATTCTTAAAGACAATCACCGTTATTATTTTGATCACCTATTTTTGAATGAATAATCGAACCATTCTACACTACTCTTGTAAGAAATTTTGTATATTCACCTAAAGAGAGTCGTTCTCACGATAATGACTGTCCCATTGAATATTGTCACGGATTCCGCGGGTGCACTAGAACTCTCTTTACTATCAATAATGACTCCTAGTGAAGTAATTGACAATACGAAATTCACTAATCATCTATCGCTTTTATTCAAGTATATACAACAATAATTTTCCTACTTAAACCGACTGACGGCACAAAACCATTTATTCGGGAAGACTCTAGAACCACGTGAGTATTTGTTCATTTAAATCACACAATCCTTTTCATAAGTATTCGCAGTCGGGTCGTTTCGACGACAAATCCATGTCTTTGAGAATAATGTCCTCAACATCTATGTTCTACGTCATACTCGTAATCATTCTCATCATCCCAAATATCCACATGACTAGCATCTCTATAAGCCTGTCACATGGATGTCATCTAGTCAATCCAAGTCTACCCTCATGCCTGCGTGGTTCTTCTTCCCATGGACTGATGTCACGGGAACTAGAAGAATGGCCACTTGCCACTTGTTTCTTGTTGAATGTCATGCTGCCTGCCGCCTTATCTGCGCCTGCGCGAACGCTCGAAGCAAAAGTAGAGGGTCTGTTTGAAGGATAATCTTGACCTCCTGGATCAGCAGTTGTCTCGCACGAATCTTCTTGTCTCCGGTTTTTCTTTCTTCGCTCGCCGAACTTTTCTTTTCTCCAGTTCTAAGCTGTTCGGAACTCCGTTAGTGAATCGAATGCTTCTAACTTGCTCGGGATTGCGTTTTTTATCCGTCGTTTCAAATCGCGTGCTTCTATATTAGGAACTATTTCACGTTTACGTTTTCTGATGCAGTGCTTGCATTAAACTGGGCATGGTAACCTGGATGAGGTTCCTGCGTTGTTATACAATTTACCGCAACCCTATTCTATTTGAGAATCGTAATGTTGCAACTCTTCTATCGAAGGCTTCTTCAATTGTGTCCTTATATTTTCTCCCATTGTGAGGTGGACCGATTTCCTCCTCATTTTTAAGAATTTTTTTACCCTGGTTGCACCTCTAGAATCTGAAGCTTCCATTTTTCAACCACTCAACTTTCAGTTCCTTGGGCAAAGTAAAGTATTGTTTTAGTCTAGAAATCGACTTCCGCGAAAGACCTTTGGTAATTAACTTCCAAGGTACTTAACAAACTCGGTCGAGTAATCAGTTCCAATACTGGTCAGCGCATGATCTCAAAAATCGCTGCACCAAGTAATCCATAGAGAAAAAAATAGTAAGAAGAGATGTCAATTCCTTGCATAAGACCCGCATGTGCGCACCAGTCTTCATTTTAGTTGAATGATGTTAAACAGATCAGTGCCGCGGAATATGGTTACTATCTGAGCAACTCCGATTAAAATATTTTTTCAAAAGTGTCTCTTTAGAGAACAAAAAATTACGGTTCCAGGCAAATTTCAATATTTACAAATATGGCAATTTGTTCAACTGAGTAGCTGGTATGACACCTACACCAGAAACAATATCATATGCTTAGAGTTAACCCGACATCAAAAATAATTAGACACCAAATAAACCCATATGGGAACTCATTTCGAATAGAGTGAGCTTAGGAGTAATACATCTTGATTAGTGAATGACATTGAACAGTATTTTAATTTCTAGAAACTTTTTTCTGTGAACTTAATTTTCCGACTTTCATATTTTTCCTTTATGAAGAAAGGGCATATTTCAGTCTCAAATATTTCTGAACATTGTTAAGTAAATAATTAAGGCTAGACGAGTGATTTTAAAGATGGTGCCACTGCCAGAGGACACATGCACAAACATGACGAGTATTATCTATTAACTACCATATTACTTCCTTGAAAAGTGTGTTTTAAGGGAGATAGTGTGTGGGGTGTAGGGCAAGGAAAGGGGGTTGTAAGGGCTAGAAGCATAAGAAAAAAGCTCCAAAAATGTATAATTGTTTGAATATTACAATTTCGTGTAACGGATGTTGATTCAAGAGGTTTTGGATGATTGTGTGTTGATGGGTGATTAGTTGAAGCGATTTATTCAACCACTGATGTAGGTGGCAAGTTGACCAAGTTGTCCATAAAATCATCGGATTACTTTCAGATAGTATTTATAACAAGCTCTTAATGTAGTGCAATGTAGTATTTATTTGATACCGGCTAGAGATATTTTTCACTACTCACACAAAGTATAACATTGTATATCAACCAAAAATTAAAGGTATTTGTATTTTAGGTAAACAGTTTTATGCAGTCTGGTGGTGCTAAACAGCTAATGGATGGTGTATTACAAAATTTGGCGACTAATGAGAATTCCCAACAGCTACTAGAAGGACTAGGGAATATTTTACAAAATGTAGGTTCTGCTGACAGAAAAGTATCCCAGAAGAAGTCAAATGGTAAAAAGTAGAACTAAGTTGTTTATTTTACAAAAATACAAACTATTATATTACTAGGTGATGTCAATCCAATGGAACTACTTTCTGGACTAGGCTCGCTTGTAGGTGCCATGCAAGGTGGTGGAGATGGTCAAGCAAATCCTGCTGCTTTATTGCAAGGATTAGGCTCCATACTTGGTGCTGCTAATGGAGGTAAGGTAATAATGACAAAATATTACTCAAATGACAAGCACATATTTTTTAAAAATTGAAAACTAATACTATTTTTCAAGGAGATGGAAATAACGCAGGAGACCTTATCCAAGGTATAGGCTCACTCCTAGGAGGTGCTTCACAAAAAAACAACAAAGAAGCAGGTGACGCTAATCCTACAGCAGCTCTACTACAAGGATTAGGATCTATTTTAGGTACCGCTGCAAGTAATAAAGAAGGAGGTAAGTTCTTTCAAATAAATGCAACGGTCTATCATCAATCTTATCCCTAAAGAGAATATTTTTTTTTGGTCAAGGTAAAGGCGATTCACTTATGCAAAGCCTGGGTGCACTTATGGGAGGCGGCGAAGGTGGATTGAATCCAGAACTTATAGGCAACATGATGAATATGTTCGCGAATTCCCAACCCGAAGCTGGCGAAAAAAGGAGTTCTAAGCGTGCTGAGAAAAAAGGAAAAAAACCAAAGAAGGTAGGAAAATATATTCATAGTAAAATGTTTTTCTTTTCTTCTTTTAATTAACAACTTTCAAAATTAAAAAATTTCATGAGCTCTATGGATATAATTTATTTACAAATGTCAGATTTTTTTGGAGCTGTCTCGAACTTGCCTTTTCTGCGTTAGGATATGAGGTATTTGCGCTAACTTATGGTGGTTATCAAAGTTGCAGCATGCCATGATCATACCATATAGGTACAATTTTGCAATCATAGTCAAGAAATAATATTAAAAATTGTAGTTCAACATTAAATAGTTATCACACTAGATATAGGTATGTACTGCCGGATAGCGAGATTTTTTGACTGGAAAAAATACTTAGGCCCGGTTTATTCATCGCTTCAGATAAACTTGCTGGTAACTATCTGCAAGATGAATTTACTGTTCTATAATTCTATTGGCCGACCAATGGGATTACAGACTGCGTTTTCATCCGTCAGATTGCATACCTAACAGTTTATCAGAAGGTGAAAAGATCGGTTTTTAGTGACAGAGAAAACTAGGTACATATTTATTTATTATAGCAATTACTGATGTTCCATGCGGTAGCTCATTTAATATATTTGGATCATGATATTTCAATATAAGTGAACTTTAATTAATAGTATGTATCCAATTATAATTGACGAAATAAAAATGTCCACATTAGTACCTTTTCTGTCATAACAATGAATATAGTTATTAGTGTCATAAATAGTCCTAATGTTCTACTTTTGCTTCCCAATGATACGAAAAACCGCAGTGACATCAAATCACCGTTAAAAAATTTGGATATAAGAGCTCACACTCAATCGCTTTACTGCAGTATACTAGGAAAACATTCTTGACAAAGTATATTTTCGATTATTATTTGATAGCACAATAGTTTATAGTAAATTTATTTATGATGATGCTTGAGAATCTTCACATAGAAATAAGCCGTCTTCAATAGGTGAATAGGTGATTTAGCAAATTTTAGGATTTTGAAATTTTTTGTAGTCCTGGCAGTATCAACCAAAACAGATTTGAAAGTATGTAAATTTTTCTAATAAATTCTAGGCAGTTGAGAAGAAAATATCTATTGGCGACTCTGAAAAAAATGCTGGTGATTTTGGTCCAGGCATAGATGATCGAAATAAAGTAAAAGATGAAGAATTGAAGGATGGTGAAAAATCAATTGATGATATAAATTCTGTGGAAAGTCAATTACCAGACGATAGGCATAGGGTGAAAAATCAGCCTACAAAATCTGGAGATGATATAGATTCAACAAATAATCCACAAATAAAAAATAAGAAAAAAGGAAAAAAGAAATCGGGTTCTTCTTTTGTCAATCCACTTGATGCAATATCCAAATCACGAAGTGGGTTAGATCTTGCAGTGCATTTGGAAAATATTCCTTTGTACTTTAAACTGGCCAAGTCATTCGGTGGACCAGAATTGAAAGTTTGTATTTTCACTGGTTGTTTTAACGCTTTTAAAAGTTTGTAGCAGTTGTCTATTATATTGTTGCGTCGATGTTTGCTTTACTTTTTTCTGCTAATTAATTATTGTACCTATTCTCGTAGTTTGTCTTCTATAGATACTTATTATAAATCTGCGCTAAAATTTTAGAGATATCTTGACCCTGTGGACGATATAATGGAGCTTTACCAGGATATTTCGAAGACAGGAGGTGGCTTTGATTTGAGCAAGGTTATCAAGAAATTGGGAAAGATTTACAAAGCAATCATGGATATAGTTATTCCTCTACTACCACCTCGCTTACCATCATCGGTATAAAATTTTTAAAAAATTTCTTCGCTTCTATGTGAACGTCTGTCGCAGTATTCCAATTAAATTTTATCATAGATTTTCGTGACGTAAATATCTTATACCATTAATTTATGTTTGGCATTATTTATTTTAGGTGGATCCATCAGCAAGTAGCGGGGATGATTTTGGTAATTTAGTCAATATGGCTACGAATTTACTCGGTCAAGGCCAAGAAGATGGAAATGGGGATTCCAATTTTATGGGCCTTTTACCAATGATAATGAGAACAATCGGTGCTTTTACAGGTAAAGATTGTTTATACAGATTCGCAAGAAACTTGGCTGCAAACCTCATCGCGACCAAAACGATATTTCGCGTACAGACTGAATTGAAAGACGCGCACATTGCCGCGGGCACAAAGCTATTCCGAAAGAGATATTACAGAGGAAACCCCACTAAATGTGAAAACTTTTGTTTTCCTTGCCCGCACGCCACCCCTCTGGGCATGTTGTGCGCCTGTTACGATTGTGACAGAGCTTTCTCGGCTTGATCTTTTCTATGTCTTCTTGGTCAATCACAAGACTGCCAAGGTACACGGTTCTATTCCAAGCGTTTGTGGACACTTGGCAAGGATATAGATGGCGGTTTCTGAGATGTCTGTTGAGGACGACAGCGTTTCGTGAGGAGCCATATCAGTAGCTTGCTAGTCTTCAGTTCAAACTCAAGGATAGCTTCACTCTTGCTTGGTTTCCAGGCTTCTATTTAAATTTTAGCCAGCCACAGTCCGCTACAGCTCCACCAGAATTCCTCGGCTTTGAGGAATATTCCCTTCTTCAGGAGCGTCCCTGTTCTCGAGTATAGCAGGGGAATGTCCGGTACCCAGGTTCTCCAGGTGACTAGGTCGCGCTGAGATTAGTTTAGACGTCGTAATGATCACGCAATATCGCATTCTAATTTGAGTGATTAATTTTGGATTACGGTTAGCATGACAAATAAGAATAATTATTTACTGACCTTGACAGTAGTTACATTATTCAATGGCCAATCGATTTTTAAGCTGCTTCAAGATTCCATAATTGTTATTTATGTATCAAGGGAATTATGAGGGTGTTAATACCCCAGGGCAAAGTTTGTATCCCGAGAGCCTTTGGCCCAAGGGACACCGATTGCCCGTGGGTAGTAACCCCTAATAATTCCCTTCCCGTGATACATAGATTATTTATTTCCTACTGAATTTACCTACTGTCTTTTGTCCATTTTTATAAAGGAATAAACCATAAGCCAAAATTCATATTTTTTCTCAAAGTTGTAGGTACCTATCCAAGGTAAAAGAGAGAGAGAAATCCTTAACTCCCGCGCGGGAGTTATAAAATCCCTATCTCCTGCGCGGGAGCTATGAAATCCTAACTCCCGCGCGGAAGTTAAGACCCTGTTTATGATTATCATAACCAAGGTATTAATATGGTTATAATAGTTCAGTAGGATATAAATAAATATTTCAAACCATGGGCCTTCAAAAGTTATCAAATCTGATTTAAAATCGCCTTGAGTGATGATGTTCACGGTTCTATTTGGTTCGTGGTTTTGCAAGTCTGTAAGCGCCTCTGCAAATTATTTCTCTACTATTGTTTCACGTGATAATTATTATTTTAGGTGAAGAAGCACAAGCACGGTCGGGTAGCCATTCGGAACATTCTGGAATTTTACCTCCCGCCCTAGAAAAAGTCCACGTTTTATATGACATTTTCATGAATTCGGAAATGGGCAAATATGTCGTTGGATTTGTTAGTAACCAGAAAGCATTCAAGGTTCGCAAATTGTTGTGCACGTTTCAATGATAAAAAGTATGTTTAAACCTATTTCAGTTATTCCAAGATGAGAATGGTACTTTCAGTTTTGACAAATTCGTAGAAATGATTGAAAATCATTCCTTCAGAAGGCATTGGATTCAACAAGTTACAAATAAGCTGATCCAGTCCCTGAAACTTGTGTCAGATGAGAAGACTTACAAAAAGTATTTATACAAAAATTCGATTCTTATCACATATTTGATTTACTTATTTATTGAATTCATAGATATATTGGTATGGGTATCACGTTTGCCAACTCTTTCTTAGCGAACTCTGGTTTTCCTAAAGATACTCTAATAGACATGAACAAGCCGGCAAAATCTATTACCAATTTTGCAAATTATGCTGCTTGGAAGTTCCTAGATACTAAATTGGATTCTGCGGAATATGTTGAACCATTTGTAAAATATACACAAGTAAGTAGAGAGCCTTTCAACTCAACACTGTTTAGTATACACGTAGGTACCTATATTAAACAAGAAGAGTTAAGTTTCAAGAAACGCACAATTGAAATTGCATCCCAGAACAGGCAGGTACTAGAGATTTTAACAGATAAATTGCATCCCCGATGCGACCCGATCATTTTTGTTCCTATTTTTTTGGTTTCATGTAATATGTACGTTTCGACCAGCTAAAAACCTTACTCATAATAGAAAACTTTGAAATCTTAACCATTTGAAAAACTACGCGTATAGTAGGGAATTAAGGTGTTTTATCCATACAGGTGCGAAGTTTCTTATGTTTCCGGCATTTCAGCGAATTTGTATCACTAATTCGCTATTTCATTGTAGAGCCACGTGAAGTAGATTTTGAATTATACAGGGTGTCACGAAAGGTTTGTTACAAACTTCTATGGTAGATCTCGTGAAAACTGAGTTTTTTTTTTTTTTTATAAACATACGTCCGCTTCGCTTTCCAGATACAGGGTGTTAGACTTTGTACAAAAAAGTCAATTTTTTAAATTAATTCTTAGAAATGCGCTTAGGGCTTCGCGAGACTACAAGACTAGTCTTGGTCACACCCAAACTAACCCAACTCCAATTATTGTGAACAGGCAAATAAAATTCAAATGAGCTATGTGACTATGTGAGGGTTCTCTAAAACCTTTGTCTGGCCTGAATGCTCAGGTAGGTAAGGTAGGTGGTAGGTTTATTCTCATCGTTCATATAAAAATTTATTTTACAGAATGGCAATTTTTGTTGTGTTTGTCAACTCTTCTGTTCCGTTAATAAAAATTCTAATTCAAGAATTTATGTGTTTGTTCCTCTGTGTCGTGTAATACTTTATGCGGTATTTTTTGACATGAAACGCTCTTGCTGGTAAAAATACCCTGTGAAGAAGACCAAATGCATGGTCGAAACGTCGGCATAATTTTTTCAGAAAGGAAGTTTTATTTTTTATTTCTGAAGTCCTAAACCCATTTTCTCTGCTCTGTCATGTTATGTTATTTATGCATCTTCTAAAAATTTGGTATATATTTTTTTCAAAACTATCAAGACCCAGACTATCAAGACCAAGACCAAGACTGAGCTAGTCAGTATGCTGCTTTGCTTTGGAGATAAAATTTAAAAACCATTTTAGGCAAACCACGAACGTCACCGACCTCCATAAATAAAAAATAAAGTGCTCCAGAATAACATGAAATTTTACGAGCCTATTTGTTGCTTGAAAATAATCAAAAAATTAACCAAAAATTTTTTTCTAAAACGCACTTATGATGACTTATTTTCACAAAGTCTAACACCCTTTATCTGGAAAGCGAAGCATTTCCGGACATATATTTATTTAAAAAAAAAAAAACTTAATTATTACGAGATCTACCATCCCTAGAAGTTTTATTTTTCTCGAGGGAAAAATTAACGCCCGGTTTAAAGCAATTATCAATAGAGTGTATAATGTTGAATATGGTTTTATAAAATAATAGTGATTTATGCCATTGGGCCAGTTTTAAGCGAAGCACAGAAACACCTTCTGCGCCGAATGGCATTATCTTCAAGGTCAAGGGACTGCAAGCTTTCTTTCCAGAAGTTATTCACTGCTATTTTCGTCCATTTGCGTAGGAATAATAGGCTGAAATTTTATTTTCGAAAAACTGATTTTATAATAGGCTGTCACTAATTTACGAAGTTTCTTTACTCTAAATGTCAAATCATGTTAATATGCCACTCGGAACATATGGACGTCTTCTAATAAAAGGGCAGACACAATTAACTTGATTATCCGTATTTAATATTATGCTGGTGCTTTATTTATGCAATGATTTAATTTAATTTAATGCACAATATATTGGACAAAAAATGTAAAACCAATAAATATTAATGCAAACTTGTACTACTCAAACTATGAGCAAATTATGCTCTTGGAGCTAATTTCCGAACTTGGTCGTTGACGCTGTCATCTAGCGAGAAGAAAACGCACAAATTATATGAACATAATAATTTTTATTTTCTACTACTCTCTAAACATTTGAATAGGGGAGTTTCTATTTCTAATTTTGTCTTTACCTACCAAAGAAAGGAGATTAGTTGAGCATTTGGCAAATTAGAAAATCACAGCAAGGGGTTAATATAAGGGCGTAAATGTATTCTATGTAAATTGTCCAAAGATATATGATTGTAAAAATGGATGACTTTTCCGTATTAAATCCGGGGCCACGAGAAAACTTATGAAACTTGTAGACCTATTGATTTTTGACTTATTTTTAAATATTTTTCAAGGATATCCTCAAAATGGCCAAATCATCCATAAAACTTGGCACTCAAAACAGGGAACTTCAAGACAAGCTAACAGATACGATTAATATGGAAATTATCGAACCCCTCACCAGAGTCAATAGAGCGTACAGGTTTGCCAAAACACAGCCCCAATGCGACAGGTAACAAAAAATTAACTTGCTAAAAATTGTTTGCAATATTTTTAAACATTTTAGGTATATTTTCTGTCTGATAAACGAAAAAGAAGCACCAAATGAACCAGGAACCCTACCAACAATGAAAAAAGCCTTATATAAGGGAACCAGTTTGGTAGCTACTTGGTTTTTAACTTCGCATACAAAAACTTCATATTGGGACCTTTATGAAGTTATAGTGAATACCAACAATTGCAACGTAAGAACCGTTATTTGTTTGCTTACATATTTCAGAAGTATTTCAAAAATTAGCTGAAATTTAGTTGATGTTCAGTTCGTGGTAGCTTCTGAAAATTTCATTGTTCTAAAACACCTCTTTGACCCTTGCAATTTAAAGTACGTTGATAAGTGTGAACTAAAATACACCCAAACTCAACTTTAAGAGGCACTCAGACTTGCGACAAACCGTGACGCCACGGTTTCTCAAATCATAGGCATATGATAAAATACCAGAGAACACAGAAAATTTAATTCATTAATCACCATTTATTCACATTCGATTATTATTCATACATCCACATTGCTAAGTGGGCACCCACATCGATCTGGCATGTTTTCATGTTTATTCTCGAGTTCATCTTCTTATTATCTAAATTGCCTTTTCTGGTTGAGTTGGCAATTCTTCAGTTGGGAATACATAATTATAAGTTAAAATAAAGACGCCCAGCATGCTGACGAAGTCACCAGACCAGCGAAGCTGATGTTGGATGAGCCGGTGGAATTGGCTTCCTCAAGGATACTTTTGTCTGTTCGGTTATCCTGCCAGTATATTTTAGCTATGTGGGTATTCTTTCTAAGTAGCGCTGGTGGTACTTTTCTGAGCACTTCAGGTGTCGCATGTAGGTGCTCCAGGCTTTCGCATCGTAGACCTAGAGCTTCATTCGGTCACTTATGTCGAGGTTCTCAAATACCTTTACCCGTCCAAATGTTGAGCTGGCGGACCTTATATTTGCATTTGTCCAAAGATGACTACCGAGTTATGGGAAGTAATCTATGTTTGCTAGAAGTAAGCCATTGATAATCACCACTTGGGGCATTAGTACTTAATGCAAGCTGGTATAGATTGTTGTCCTATTCGTTTCGACTTCAATGCTTTCGCATGCTTGCTAAAATGTATTTAGAGTGATTTGTAGGCTTTCCAGGGCTGCGTTATCAATATCATCAGGAGTTGTAGATACCTTATTGGCTGGAATTCCGCTAGCTTTTAATAAGTTCTGAAAGGTGGGATTTCAAAACTCAACGGCAGGTTTCCTCCGACAGTGCAAAGTACGGTTCCTACCACTATAGAGGCTAGACTTGATACAATCCTTGCTCCACTCAGGTTGTGAATGTTGTGATATTAAAGGCTTCTCCGGTTATCCTGTTGATAAGGATAGTGTCATACATGATGTCATGCAGCGAATCAAGTTAATATGTAGATAAATTTGAGCGGACAGCCGTGCAAGGCCAGTATTTTCGGAAGAGTTGCTTGTCTAACAGAGTCAAACGCTTTGACAAGGTCTATAAATGATACAGGGTTTTGTTTTGTTCTTTCGATTTTTCTCGCATTTGTATTGCACTGAAGTTCATGTTTACCGTACTTATATTTAGTCTTAAGCTAAAACTTTTTTTTGGGTTTTGCTAAAAAAAGTCCTTTTAAAAAATTGATGAAAGAAGCAGCAAATTTTTAAGGCATGGACGCTTTTAAATCAGGCAAACCTAATCGCCAATGCGTTCTATTTAATAGTCACTGTGGCCGTTGAAGCAAAAGCGTACATAGGTATTGATCATTATTTGGTTCGTAATTAAAGAAAACCAAAAATTTACCTAATACCACAAGAACTCTATACCCAACTGAAAACCTCAAATACATCGGAAATCGTTTACTTTAGCACCTAGTTTCAACTGAACATGTATTAGGCGAACTTAAATATTAGTATAGCTAATTAAAAAATACTTTCTTTTTAGCTATACTACAACGACCTTTGCAACGGATTCTACCATGAGGAAATTAAAGCAACGACTGAATATGTTCACAACGAACTGTAGATAGTTAGAAGTTTGATTGAGAAAAATACCGTATTTTTTTTATATAAATACATGCATTTGCACCTGAACGAGTATCGCAAAGATATGAATGTTTTTAAAATTCATTAAATTTCATTTAAATATTTTGTGTACGCAAGTACAGATACCTACTGAGCAATGAAGTTTGATTTGAAAACAAATATTTTGTTATTCCCATTATTACTTACTTTTGACTGCTTTGAAATATATATTATGTTAAAAGTTTGCCAGGCAGATATACCTACTACCAAAAAGTTATAAATTAGATGAAAATATATCTGTTTGGCGAACATTTATTGTTTGTGATGTAGACTGTAATATAGACTTTTTAATTACTCAATTGAAAATATCTTTGTTATTTATTTCGTTTTTACTTTCGTCGAAGTATTCATGGCGTATAATTGTGTCAAATTACATTATTTTCTACTATGTAAAACTTCACACACTCTCTATTTTCTATTCAACGATGATCTGCTATGGATTATTCTATTCTATTCTATTCTATTCTATACAAAATATTGTCCATATCGTTGAGTAGAAAAATATGAGAAATGTTGGGTTGTTGTTATTGGGCCTACAGTTTTTTTCAGTAGGTACAGGGTTATTGGTTATAAATGTCACCCCCCTCTATCTTTTTTATTTGAGATTTTAGAAAAAAGTATCTCAAATAAAAAATATATGGTTGAAATTAATTTTTTTGAAAAACTCACTTTCGCATATACAGGATGTTCCAGAAAAGCTGGTCGGGCTCCAAATTTCTTATTTCAAATGGAATACCCCGTATATTATTGGATATTCGAATTCCACGTAAAATTCTGAGCAGATTATATGTGATATACCCTATACCTAAGTTCAACTGTTTCGGAAATATTGACAATTGAAAATTGACTTTTTTGCAAATTTGACAGGCTGTAAGTCCTAAACGGTTTATTCTAGAGCAAAACCGATTTTACATTTTTGTCTTATATTTTCATAAACTATCAGTTGATACCAATCTTTGACACCAACTTTGAAATTAATCCACGATTGGAAATTCCAATTAAATTTAATCTTGGTGTCAAATGATAACTTCTGAAAATCTTAGAAAAAAAATGTAAGATCGGTTTTGCTCAAAAGTTAACCGTTTAGGTTTCACAGCCTGTCAAATTTGCAAAAAAGTCAATCTTCAACTGTCAATATTTCCAAAACAGTTGAACTTAGGTATAGGGTATATCCCATGAAATCTGTTCAGAATTTGACGTAGAATTCGAATATCCAATAATATACAGGGTATTTCATTTTAAATAAGAAATTTGGAGCTTGATCCGCTTTTCTGAAACACCCTGTATATGCGAAAGTGAGTTGTTCAAAAAATTTAATTTCAACCATAAAACTTTTATTTGAGACACTTTTTTCTAAAATGTCAGATAAAAAAGATAGAGGGTGGTGACATTTATAACCAATAACCCTGTACATGGGATTTATTCCTTTGAAGTGCATTGTAATTTGAGTAACTTTGGAAAGCCTACAAGAAGTCTATTGGTACAAATCTATGGGGTGTCCTTTGCTTTGTAGTGCCTGGAATCGCTTCTGGAAAAAAGGCAGAGATAACATACTAGTGGTGTTCGTCATCTTTCTTCAAGACGTTGGAAAAATCGACCGAATAAATAGGTCAAAAATGAAATAAATTTAAAAAGCTTTTCTGAAATATTCTGTAACATCATCGAACTTAGTAGAAAAATTATTAGGAATCATCTACGTCACATACTGAAAAATCACTCGTCCAGGGCGGAGTTGAAGGGGATAGATTCCGCCCCAAGAATGTGAATGAAATAAGTTATCAAAAATTTTGTAGCACCTCCAAACTTCCCAGCAAACACGCTGTCATCATAATGACGTGTATAATTTGATTTGATTTACGTCATTGGCACTAAAAAGATGACGTCATTATGATGAAAAAATGACGGATAAATTTTTGATGTCAGATTTTATTTACATTTCTAGAGCGGCATCTATCCTCTTCAACCCCGCCCTGGACGAGTGATTTTTGAGTACCTATGTGACTTAGATCAGCCCTAATAATATTTCTACCTCTACCGTACCATGTTTGAGAAATGATAATCTTTCAGAAGAGCTTTTAAAATTTATTTGTAGCACTACTTATTTGGTAGACTGTAAGAACATGATTTTCATTTCCGAATCTGTTGCTAACTTCAAAGACGTTTTCGACTTTTCCCCATTAGAGCTTATTACATTCTAGAACTTGACAAGCTGTTTCATAGAAGAAACAAAATGTCTGTAATCTTTAGATTTGGCACATTTCCAATGAATCCTGGGTCACCAATATATGACAACCTATTGCGACGGAGCACTCCTGGTACAGTGGATAAATGGTTTCTGCAAAAGGGCGAATTATTATTAAATTTACCTTTTTCTATAATGTGGAAAGTTGGAGCTCAACCTTACCGTTCTTTCTAAATAGCTTTGTTTGGGTTTGAAAAAAGGACGATTCCAGAACGGTTCAAAACAATCGCAGTTTATTATTGAAGTTTGTGATAGCCGAGCCCTTGTCATTTTGTTGAATAATAAACTGTGCGATTGTTTTAAACCGTTCTAGAACCGTCCTTTTTTCAAACCCGAATAGGCCCAATATGTATTTTTCGAGAAATCAGAATTGAGTTTTTTGACTAAAATACACAAATAATAGGTACTTATTATTAATAGAAGAAAAGGTTCTTAGTCAGTAAAGACTTTGACCTGATCTAACACTATAAGCTAAGGCAACTTCTCCAAGTGCCAGCATTTTTTATATTTGTGAAAATTTCAAGCAGGTATTCTTTAAATTGAAAATTTCGATATTGAGGGTCGCATCAGGTCGATCAGGGCAAAGGGGACCTAAATCTTGCGCAGAGAATCTTGCGGTATAGCAGTCAAATTATTAGAGTAGTAAGTCACCCCCAATATCCTCCCTGTGTTCCATTTTGAGCAGATTTGACGAGAAAAATTTAACCGTAGCCTCAGTATACAAGCGAGAATTATCCAGTACCACGATGTTGCATATATTATTATCTTCTGAACATATTATTATCTTCTATATAAAAGCATCCTTAACATGAGGATACATTTTTAAAGTAACACAACCTTGTATAATAATAATTATTATGTCTCGTAATAATTGTGCGTTCGGTAATTATTACGATCGTCTTGGCACGGTGGTTCGAGTCGCGATACCGCCTGTCCTATATACGCCGACTATTATTATTGCGGACATCATTCTATATTCGTCGTAAGCAATGTCAGCGCAAGCGTCACCCATTTTGTAGAAGAAAACTAAAAATATAGAGACAAAAAAGTCTCTGACAAGTGATTTAATTCCGGTTTCGGTTTGACGCCTTCACGTGGTCGGTTGACGAGTGCGCCGATTCGTCCGCAAGGATAATCCAAAGTGACAGTTTTTTTTTTTTTTTTTAAATTTGCCGCTAATTTATTGACGTCATGGATAGAACAATGTATGGCAAAGTGATTCCAGGAACTTTGAACCCGTACGAGTGTACAGTCAAACATGGAACACCGGCACCCGGATGTAAGTTTTGTATATTTTTAGCCAAACAATAAATACTGAGGTATTTAAAATCAAGGGTAGCGAATTGTGGAATTCCAAATTTTTATCACATACTACGCGAATCAGGGTATCTACGGAAAATTTGCTAATCAATTGCTAGGTATTTCATAAACCATATCTATAAACAAAAATATGCAGAGAAAGTTGTTGGTAATTTAGGCGCCAAATATGGAAGATTGGTCCAAAATAATACATTTAAGGAATAAATAAAATTATTATAAAACGAGTTTTAGAGGTCTCGTATATTCACATTCGAAAGAAAACGTGAAAATTATCTGAAAAAACCTGTAAATTTCAAAAGCGTTTAAAATACCTATAATGGTTTTGTTTATTTGACCGGTCTAGCTCACCTTGGTAGGGCTCGTTAAGAGTTGGAATAGGCAAAATAGAAATGTTTTTAATATTTTCTACACATATACAAAAACTTATTCTAAACATAATTTTATTTTATTGTTTCTATAACCAAGGTGTAAAAGAAAAATAAAAATATAATACAATCAACACTCATCCTCGTTATCAGAAACAGACCAATCGGAGGAACTTTCGTCGTTTCCTACGTCTATAATTATTACTGTTACGATCGTTTCGTCTATGCAATGATCTAGGTCCCACATTACATGTGTACCTACCTCATACATTTGGACCACTTTTCTCCATTAATATTTATGCCCATATTCACCCTATCGAGTTTAGTTCACAGTGGTATGGAAGCAGTCTAAGTACTGTCACATTATGTTTTCTTGCCATTTCATCAACGACATATTTGGTAAAGCGGTGTTTATTATGCTCCTGAACTATTGCAAGAAGTTCTTTTTTAACCATATTGTCTTCAAAGATTATTAATTTTTCCAGAAGCCACCGGATGATATCTGCTTTTCTCCATGAACTAGTCGGTAACTTCTCGAATTTTCTGGAATGGTAGTTGGCAATGTCCATAGCGATAACAGATCCTGAGGGGATAAGATCAAAAATTTGTTGAAAATATTCTTCAAATACGCCTGCGTTCATTTCTTCATAATAATAGACACTTAAAGCCAATACGCAAAAAAACGTATCCCAACCAAGTATCCCTTAACGTCTCGGGGTTACGTTTACAAAAATTTGTTCCATTAAAAAGTCCTAAAGCATGGCTTCTACAACCGTAAACGCAACGTTTAATTTTTCGGTGGTTTCTAACCACACTTTTTCTTTATCAGTTTTTTTACACTTTTTACTGTGTTTTGTTTGATAATTTGTTGAAATTTCAAAACGAATGCATTAATTAATCATATTATTCTTGATGATAATGATGATTTTGAAGATGTCGACGAGCCCCCATCTTGAAGGATCCTCATAGGGATTTTGTCCCGCGACCTCTCTCAAAAGGTTTAAATTATTGTCCTCGCTATTGATTTTTCTTCTCGGTATTGATAATTTTCTGGCCACATCAGTTTTTTTTACAAATATATTTAACTGTTGAGGTTATATTGTTGTTTTCCATCCACCATCCATCCATATTTTGACATGATATACGTGTTGCGTTAAATAGACTCATGAACGCAGGAACTTGTAACGATACGTTCAACGTATTACTAGACACTTTAAGCAGGTCCTAAATTTCGAATCCGTATCCGCATCGATCTGCGCATGCGCAGAATAGATACGGAGGTTGCGTTGCGTTGTCCGTATTGTTACGGTCCTAGCCTCGTATCCGTATCCGGAAACGTATCTCAATCATTTGACACTATTGGCAAATCTTCCTGTTAGTTGTCACTTAAATAACTTTAACAACATAAACACAGTACTTATAGATGAAAATAAAACCTACTAACACAGCTACAAAATCAAAACAATACTTTTTGAGGTTAGAAAACGTTTCATCCAAGGATACAATCGTTTACCTAATGTAGGCCATGCTTAAAAGGATTTTAGGCGGTCAACGTAAGTCGATGCGTTTACAGATGCGGATACGGATACGTAGAAAAATTTAGGGTTTGCTTGAAGTGTCTACTTATCCTTACCCGTAATTTCAATGCGCAGTCGCAGATCGATACGGATAAGTATACGTATTGATAACTGTCCCTGCTTTAAGTGTCTAATCAACTGTACGTTTGAACTGGAATGTTAATAAACCACCATTAACGAAGCCGTCACTACTGCGAATATGTGTAATGATGAGCCATGTTTATTTTCCTGAGAGTGTTTTTGGGCCAGTAGACAAACCTTCTAAAAAAGCTTGACGAGATGAAGGTATATTTTTATCTTGCCACATTTTCCCCTACTGCATAGCCTTCATTTAACCATGTTTCGTCTTTTAAGTATTTTCTCCTCCAATAGACAATTTCAGTACTCTCAGTCAGCAGTGATTTCCTTTTTTGTTTTTTCCCCTTGATTGAAGTTCATTTCCCATAGAATTTCCCAGAACTTATCTCTTCCAATTTCAGACCCATTTTCATATCACTTTTAATGTCTGCCAGAATTATATTCAAGGTCGGGATTTCCTTATTAAAATAAAAGAAACGTCCTTTCTTTCTTGTTTCGTTTTCGGCCAATTCGTCGACAACCACATTATATAGGTACGTTATTTTGGAGATCTTTTTGGAGCCGGTTTCAGTTTTCTCAAATTTCCACACTAGTTTTCACGTAAAAGTCTATAGTAAATTTTCCAATCCTCGTCATGTATGAAGACCTTTCCACTAAACTATCATCACTGCCTCCATGTTTTTGAAATTTAGGAGCATCGTATACGTTGACTATTATAATTTTCTCGTTAGTGGATAAAGCACACTTTCTTGTCCTTTTAACTGGAAAGAAACTCAAAATATTTTCCATTTCCAAAAATTGAAAAAAAAAAAAAAACTTGCTGATAATAGGACGACGAGACGTGACAACTCTAAAATAAGTTTTAAACTAATGCTCAGATAAGATACTGAAACTAGAATCCCAGAATCTAGAATCGTTATACATCAGTTCTACTAATTCAATTTTATTATTTTTACTTTAATTTCAATTAAAATTGATATTAATTTTACTTAATACTTCCAAATTGAAGTTTGATCATCATTATTATTAATAATAATAAAACTCAATTGTAGGTAAGTATTTTTTTGACCAACAAACAAAAAAGCAACAAAACACGCTGGTAGGAAAAATGTTGTGCCTAACAACCTAACACGAACGTAAAGTAACTTTTCGCACTTGTTAGGTAAATAACTATTAGGTGAGTATCGCTTTTACTCCTACTAAATCAATAGTCTATTTCCAAGATTTTGACAAGCAAGTCATTTCGTTACGGATAAAAATAATAAAACGAAATTCTAGGGTCATAAAGAACTCGATGGGACCTTTAAAAACAGGTATGACACGACCCCTATCCCCGATTCAAATTTGGGGGATTGTTGTCCCCTCAGCTAAGGGGTTAAAGCTACGTGGATGAAAAAAACTGAAAAATAGTTCCCCCTCAAATAAAAATCGATGTGTCCGAGCGTTTTTCCAGATTTTCATTTCAAATTAAAAAAATCGGGGTGGAAATTTTCCATTGGCCCACCCTGTATAAAGTAGGTGATATAGATATTACAATCAGGTTTAAAAACGCACTAACCTGAAAATGGTGATAGTTTTTGAGCTAACGAAATTCAGTTTATTCATTAAATTAGATGTTTTGAAACGTGCGGATCTGGTTATTTTTGTTTTTGTATTTATCCCTCCTACAATCCGGTTTATTTATTTTTAGGTTTAAAACGCATTACGTGGGTTGAGTTTGAAAGAATGAAAAAGTGATTATGTTTTTGTAATCACAACAATTATGTATTTAAATATTATAACCTGAACTTAGGACTGAGTCAAACGGCCCTAAAGGCTTTGAAAGCCTGTAAATGCATATCAAAGCTGATCTGGGAATGGGAAAGTCGAGTTTTTATTGATTTTTTTTTTCAAGAAAAATACACATTCTGTATTTTTGAGATCATCCATCCATATCATTTCTACATATTTTTGAACTAAAATAAACACTAAATCAATATTCAATAAATATTCAAGTTTATTTTACCGACAGAAAATTACATCAATATAGTAGTACCTATATTATTTACATTCTATAATTGAATATTCCATAAAATGTCCGATTAAATCTTAGAGATTTCACTTGAAAATTGTTAAATCCAATATCTCTACATAGAAGTAATTATTATACAATTATGTCGGTGTCGTGAAAAAAACCAATAACCAAGTGTTTAATTTTGCATTTTTTAATCAGTTTTTCCTAATTTCCGTACTGAAAAGTTTACCTTCTTGCGAGAAGTTAAACGGTTGGCTCTATAAAGTAACTTGTATAAAGACGTTCAAGATAATGTGCATTTGATCCAATTTCACATGCGATTAATCAGAATTTACTGGTCGACTGACAGTAGAATTGCGCAAGGTTAAAGGTAATATTTTTCAACGAGAGTCCGCGAGATTCCGCAAGCATAGTTGCTATTTTTGGCTCCCCAATAGTGGATACGCCGTTAGCTTTGCCAAAAAACGTGACGTGCAATAGTTAGTCATAGATTGGGATCTTTCCTAGTATACAACAATATACTCCAGGTTTTTCCCGCGAACCTCTGGGGTGGAATATAATTTCCTTCTCCGGAAAATCTCGAGTTTTCCCACAGTTTGAAATCGGGGCGAATCTGGATTATTTATAAAACAACTCATCGAGTGAATTTAGTTACGCGATTCGTGAAGATGAGTGCCAAATTACGCACGCGTACTCCGTCGCCTAAGACCGTCACTTTCGATCCTTCACCGCCAACCACCTTGGAGAGAAAAAATCAACCTGTAGCGGCCAGGTTTAGAAACCTTAGGGAATGGGAACAGTACCTTAGTGAGTAACTATATAGCTTGAACCGTTCGAAGGGTAACAAAAACCCGTTTTTTTTTTAAATAAAACTGCATATACAGGATTACATAACTAAGAACCTGTGAGTTGAATATTTTAAACTATAATTTTCTGCTAGTGTTTGAGGCACTAAAAATGCAGTCGAAATGCCGTCATGAGTAGTAAAAATGAATAAATAAAAGTAGAAATCATAAAATAATGGAATAATCAAACAAAAAAGATGTCAATCAGTTTACCCTTAGGGTTTCTTCAGTTTAAAAAATTTGCATTTCTTTCCTTCCTCAAAACCTATCAATTCAATTAGTCTTTTGGTTTAGTTTTTCAATTCAAGATTCACTTCACAATTTTTTCTATTCTATCTGTCCAAGAATTCTTGCGGAATAAATTAAATTTGCACTTCCGTTTGGATTTCCCTATGGTATCTTTTGTACAGTTTTGAATAATTTGTTGAAATAATGAGTTCTTTATCCAGCTGGAAGGGATTTAATGAATTTGGTAATTTATATTCGGATATATTTTAGTTAGGTAATGATGGAAATATCGAGGGGCCCCGCTTGGGGCAGTGGTTGAAACTCCAGGGCTCTGATTTTGGGATGCCTTGCTTGCATAGGATTGATTTAGGTCAGTCTACTGAGTGTATGTGGGCCTTTTTGGGGCCGTAGGGATTAGAGACGAGGATGCTTGACCTATACCAGAGAGTCCGTGGACTGGATTTCGAAATAAACACTGAACTTGGGCTTGAAAATAATTTATTTGTGTTTGAAACTCATAGTTAACGATTGAATTTAATTTCGACTTCAAGGTCTTTCCTATTGTATAGGCCTGGGTTTGTGCTACTTTGTATTGTCGAAGGTGGGTATCTACGAATTGGGACATGGGTGGGTTTTCTCAACGCTGTCTTATAGTCTGGAGGCATTTTTCGAACTAGGAATTTTTAAACCTTCGTTTTTTCACTTGAAACACTCTCACCATCGCTGAATTATTCGTTTTCTGCGTTGGCCTATTCCTCGACTATGACAGACGGTCAATAACTAAATTTTGGGAACCCTCTGGTCGGTCTCAACTGGATTTGGAAATTTTCAGCACTTTGACCGCTATTCTTACGAGTAGACTTAGTGTGAACACACAGACTGTTCCCTGCTGGATTTCGACTGAAACTGTTCTCTAAGTTCCAGTGGAAAGCAATGGATTAATAATTTGAAAAAATGTTTTACGTATTTTTACCATACCTACCTTTCTTTTATATGGATAGGAAGAGACATACTTTTTCATGACATGTTTTCTTTATGAATATTATTAGAATTTTTTTTTCTATAGAAGCTGATTTTACAGCCCCAAATAATAATAAAGAACATAGTCCGGGGGCCGAGGCCCTTTTTTCCAAATCATTAATTACAAGCTAGTTTTTTCAATGCAGCTTCATTTCACCGAAACGCCCAACTTTTTTCTCACGAAAATTGCGAAAACAGGTAGCTAACATACTGCGCAGGTGTAAAACATGTCGATTTGGTGATTATGAAAATTTAATTAATAACAGTTAGATTTTTAGCTAAATGTCAAAATAATTTTATGAATAATTTGAAACAATATTTGTCCGACAAAATAAAGGGTTTGGTCTATGATGTCCCCCCCCTTCAAACATGTAGCAATGACGTTACATAAAAAATGATTAATAACCAGTTGATTTTTTTACTGTAGCTTAGTAAATATTACTACAATTAAATGGTCACACTGTCCTACAAATAAAGAGGTAACTTTTTCCAGTCCTACACTCGAAAGTTGTCGACTTCACGGTAATATTTTTCTCATTAATAACTGTAAGGTCACAAAAGCCACATGATAGATTAACATATTTTCTACCGAAATTAATCAATGTCCTTCAAAAAAGTAGGTAGTTATCGCTAGTCCGACAAAAAGTATGAAACCGACGTAACCGTTGAAAAACGTATTCGATGAGAAGTTATATTAAAATGAAGTATAGGCTTTATAATCATATGTAATGTTGACTACATTAGTGTGTTCTTTGTCCCTGTTTGTTGAGATTTTCGCATTAGAAATGGTTATTCATGATTGAATATGTATACTTGAAATTTTATAAAGTTAACTTGAATCGAATATTGTATATTAATCCAATGTGTCCAAGATAAGGAAGGCCAGTATGGGGATCTGGGAAACGGTAAGAGATAGATAAATTAGAAAAAAGTTGCGCAATTTTGTGCTCATTGAAATGGCGCTTTGATGTTTTAAAAATTCCTAGTACTACCGGAGATATCCGGAATAAACCGAAATTCTCCCAAAATTATTTCGTTTTTTCCTGACCTTATATGAAGAGTTATTTCAAAATAAATGGCACTTCATTGTTGCCACTTTTCCTCCTCCAGATTTTGAGAGATTTTGATGTTCAAAAACCTATGACGTATCGCATTTATTCGAAAAAATATTTTTTTTTACCTTTCAGTAATTTCCTATTAAAATTCTCTTCTGCTGTTTCTCTCTAACACATTTAATTCTTATGGAAAGTGCCAAAACTATAATTTTTTCGAATAAGTGCAATACGTCATTGATTTTGAGACATCAGAAGCCTATAAAATCTAAAACAAAAAATAAGGGTCCGTTTTTAAAAAAAATAAAGTTGATGATGGGGGCCCGAAGACGAAACGTCCGATTTTAAATTTGATGGTGGCATCTTGTAGAGGAGAAAAAGTGGCAACAATGAAGTGCGATTTATTTTGAAATATCTGTTCAAAGAGGGTGAGGAAAAAATGAAATAATTTTGGGCGAATTTCGGTTTTTTTTCGGATATCTCAATGGTCTTAAAATTGCGCAATGTATAATGAACATAATACAGAAAATTATTCTTATTTTATTTTCTTTAGTTGGAGCTTCGGACAAATATGGTTATAGAAAAATATTGTTTTTATTTTAAGGAATTAATTTTTTATGACTTTTTTCTAAATAAATATTTACTAAGCTACATTAAAAAAATCAACTGGTTATTAATCATTTTTTATGTAACGTACCTGCTACATGTTTGAGAAGGGGGACAGCCTAGATCAAACCATTTATTTTGTCGGACAAATGTTGTTTCATATTATTTATGTAACTATCTCAGCATTTAGCTACAAAATTAACTGTTATTATTTACATTCGTATGATCACCAAATAGACATGTTTTTCACCAAGGAACAGCTCACTATAGACAATGTTATTCTAGAACAAGCAAGAATCACACAAAGAAATCTTTACATGGCTTATGTGGATTATAAGAAGGCGTTTGATTCTGTACCACATAGCTGGCTGATTCACGTTCTGGAAATCTATAAAATAGACCCTGTTCTTATCAATTTTCTACGATACAATACTGAGAAATGGAACACGAAGCTTGTCATTGGCGACAATCAAAATAGAATTGAAACATAACTCATTCAAATAAGACGCGGAATCTTCCAAGGAGATGCTCTGAGCGCCCACTGGTTTTGCGTTTCTCTAAATCCCTTATCCAATGCATTAAAACACACACAATATGGATACACGTTGAAGGGAGAACAGACGAGCTACCTGCTTAGTCACCTCTTTTTTATGGATGACCTCAAAATGTACTCGGCCAATAAAAAGCAACTTGAAATACTCCTAAAACTAGTACATAATATGAGCAGTAACATAGGCATGGAATTCAGGATTGAAAAATGCAACACCGTCAACATTGTGAGAGGAAACCTCATTCAGGCAGAAGGCGTTGAACTTGACGACGGCCTTGTCATTCCAGCCATGAGTGACGAGAGTTACAAGTATTTAGGAATGATGCAGAGAAACAGGACTCAACACAAACAAATTAAAGAAAAACTAACCAAGAAATTTGAGGAAAGAGTACAAGCTGTCCTGAAAAGTCACCTAAATTCAATTAATTGTATCACTGCAATTATTAACACATTTGCATTATCCATTCTTACCTATTCCTTTGGTGTCGTAACGTGGTCACAAACAGAACTTGAAGCCCTTAACAGAAAGGTAAGGACGCTTATGACGCGCACAAGAAAACATCATCCAAGATCCAGCACACACCGTGTATACTTACCTAGGAAGATGGGAGGAAGGGGCCTGCTCGACTTAGTGAATCTGTGCAAAGAACAAATAAAGAAACTGCGTTTGTACTTTGCAAGAATAGATAAACAACTACACAAAACAGTAGTCGATGCAGACCGAAAACTGTCGCCACTAAATCTAAGAGAACCCCGTTGTCTACCTTTCACAACAAATGACGTCACTCAGAGAGCGCGGGAATGGGCTGCGAAAGAGTTGCATGGACGATTTTATGGAGAACTCCATCAGGAACATATAGACACACAAGCATCCGTTCAATGGCTAGTTAAAGGAACCATTTATCCGGAAAGTGAAGGCTTTATGCTTTCCATTCAAGACCGTGTGGTAATGACAGCTAACTACAGACGGTACATTCTTCGAGAAAATATCAACGACAAATGTAGAAAATGTCATACAGAACGGGAAACAATCGAACACATACTATCGGCATGTCCAAACTTAGCGAAGACAAGATATATCGAAAGACACAACAAAATAGAGACAATCATATACAGGGTGGGGACTTTAACTGGAACTAATTCGCTAGAGCCTTCGGATAAAATATGTGGACAAAACGCAAAAAGACGTCGATCAAGATTTTTTTTTTGAAATTTTTCCATATTAATTTTTTTATACAGGGTGTTCCAAGAACAGCTGTACGGTTATCAACTTTATTTTTCCAAATGGTAGCCCCTGTATATTATGACATTTCTGGATTCTGCTGAAAATTCTAGACATATTTCATGTACAATGTTATATACCTATCTTCAACTGTTTCGGAAATATTGACAGTTGAAAATTGACTTTTTTGCAACTTTGACAGGCTGTAAAACCTAAACGGTTAATTTAAGAGGAAAACCAGTTTTACATTCCTGTCTTAGGTTTTCATAAACTATCATTTGACA